CGCTACCGGTTAACCTGAGACCTTAAAATCGGGTACCAATCGCTGCGACTTGTAACGGCACACACGCTCGTTTTTTCCGCGAGGCTCTAGCTCTATTAGAAGCGAAACGGCGTGCTGGGGTCGTATCAACCCCTCCGAAACCCTTTTTGTTTGCGGGAAAATGAGGAACTTATAGAAAGAACACCTTTCTAATTTTTTGCATGTCGATTTGCAATGACATGAAGATTATTTTGAAAAAATAAAAATGTGAAAAATTTTGGTCCCTAAAGTCATTAGAGGCAAATGAAAAAAGATTAAGGTTTTTGCTCAACAATGAAATTTTTTCTTTGGAATTTTTAAATAGTAATATTAATTTTTGATTCATCGTAAGCTTAGTGTTGTTTACTTTTTGTTGGTTGCTTAAACCGTTCTTGAGTTATAGGCCATCAAACTCACCGTTACATACCGAAGTTAAAAAAATGTAATGCAATATAACTCAAAAAGTTTTGATCTGAGAAGTCTGATGTTTTGCCAGGCGTCTTTGGGGCCTATGCTTACCCCTAGGACCGATTTTCATTAAAATCTGAGAGATGAGGGTGACGGGCCTGGTACTATCTATCGTGGAATGCCCCCCCCCCCTATCAAAATAGGATTAAATCGGGTTGGCCCCTCGATGAAAATAATAGACGGGAGAGAGAGAGAGAGAGAGAGAGAGAGAGAGAGAGAGAGAGAGAGAGAGAGAGAGTGAGAGAGAGAGAGAGAGGAGAGAGAGAGAGAGAGGGAGAGAGAGAGGGAGAGAGAGAGAGAGAGAGAGAGAGAGAGAGAGAGAGAGAGAGAGAGAGAGAGAGAGAGAGAGAGAGAGAGAGAGAGAGACAGACAGACAGACAGACAGACAGACAGACAGACAGACAGACAGACAGACAGACAGACAGACAGAGACAGAGAGACAGACAGAGACAGAGAGAGAGACAGACAGAGACAGAGAGAGAGAGAGAGAGAGAGAGAGAGAGAGAGAGGAGAGAGAGAGGAGAGAGAGAGAGAGAGAGAGAGAGAGAGAGAGAGAGAGAGAGAGAGAGAGAGAGAGAGAGAGAGAGAGAGAGAGAGAGAGAGAGAGAGAGAGAGAGAGAGAGAGAGAGAGACTCCAGCTGCCGTGCAGCAGCCTATTGATCCTGTGAAATTGAATGCAAATAGGATGCGTTATTGCGGCGCAGAGAGCGGCGGGATTTGTGAACAGCACATCATACACGGCGCGCTCGCCGCCCAGAGGGCCCTTCGCCACGCGCGCGCGCCGCACAGTGGGCCAATATTGCGCGCCGGCCGATTTGTATCACTTCACGGGTCAGCAGAGATTTCATCCCAGCGTACGGCTCTCGGACACGGACAAATCGGTAGCATTAGCCCGTTAGAGTTACATAGATTTTGGACACCCGTCCGGAAAGGCCGCTCGGACGATCGCAGCTGGTTAGGACGAGCATGAAGACTCAATAAGACGAGTTCATAAGGCACAGATGAACTGTATCTATGTCGTATGATATGAGCCTTAGGTAGTACTGCGCCGGCATGAGCCGTAGGTGCTTATCAAGAACTGAGCTAATTTTTCATTACAAAAGAACAAAGCCAATATTATGGGCTATGGCCCGTTACCTACACTGCAGAGCCGTACAAAACCGTGCACATTTTGTATGCTACTGATGGACATGCTATGCTACGTACTGGCGGATCCAGCTCCGAGTTTTGGGAGGGGCAAACCATAACAATTTAGTGGTTGTTTCCATGCACCGTACCGTAATCAGTACGTGTGTAATGCTAATAGGTGTAATGCTAAAACTATGCCGTTTGAGAGGGGTAATTGCACTATTTGCCGTCCCTGGATCCGCCACTGATGTTACGTTTGTGATTGGATGAGCTGAAAAATCATCACGGTGTCCCTCCTGCGCCCGGGGAGCGCCCTGTCTCCTGTCCAGGGGCGCAGGTGGCTCATCAGCACGCGCCACCAGTTACCCGGAGCTAATGACAGTGTCGGGGCGCTGTGTAAGTACGCGGCGGACAGCGGAGCCGTGCCGGGCCCATCGCAGCCTCTCCCCGGCCCACCTGGGGACTCCGCGGCCCACAGAGGTCCTCAGGGACGGCCGAGGTGGCCGCTGTACCGGCGATCCCGCGTCTGATGGGCGCCGCCGGCCGCACGTGACGCCATGAACCGTTACCGGCCGCCGGCGGCCACCTGAGCACCCTCTGAACGGCCGCGAGTCTATACTGTCCTGTGACGTCACCGCAGAAAAGTTGCTAGTTAGCGACGGTGGAGAGCGCCGCTAAACGGTTTTAGTTGAGCAGAAGATTACGCCGTCGTGCGGCGAGAAGTTGTCGCCGGTGCTGATGAGGTCGCCGCCGATCGGCCGAGCTCAACTTTGTGACGGTCGGCAGGTGCTCAGAAAATAGCTGGTGGCGAAACGTGAGTCCGCAACCAGTAGAGGAGAATTGCCGCTCTGCCTACAACCCAAAATAGATTAATTTGGCAAGGACATATGACACTGCTAAGGTTAGACTGGTAATAGGCGCACATTTCCAAGGCAATATGAACCGGTCAACTCAGGTGTGTACTATATCTGATTCGTTGCTAAGCAAGTAGAAACCGTTTAGATATTTATTCAGATCTACTGGAAACAGAAATATATAACGAGATACCATCGCAAGAGTCTTGGTGTAGTAGTTGTCCGCTTTGTCTTGCGCGAATTACCCTTGCGAAAAAATATAAATTTAAAATTACGTGACTGAAATAGCATTGCTGATTCCCGTAACCTAATGCCACAGGTGATTTTATCATACCCAGATACCTATTTACCTAGATGTGAATGAAGCGTTATAACATGGCGCACAGACGCGAATTATCAATGCATCACCTATGGGTATTCATTAGGTATTATTCAGATGACATCAATTCGTAATCTTTGTCATACCTATCAGCCTGAATCGTGATCAAATTGTCAATAATTTGGTTAGGCATTTGTTACCTGTTTTGTTGAAAAAGAGTGTGAAACGTGTTTGTAAGGTCAGTCTAAATCAAAGGAACATCTTGAAATCATGAGTAAATCACCCGACCCGGTCCGGACCAGTTTGTCACGTATTTGAGAAACCTTCTGCTTTCGCAGCAGTAGGTGAGTACATCTGCTGAAAACTGTCTTCTTCGTTAGTGTTTCGGTGGCTTGAAAATAAGGTTGTTTATAACCAGGCAATCGTTATCTCACCACTTCACACTTTCTGCTTTCTTTCGTATCCATACCACCATTCAGCAATATTTTTCGTGCCACATATGGTGAACAAAAGCGAAACGAAGGAAGGCGTCCTAACGACATCTTGTCAATCTTTTAGACCATCTTCTTTTTGAGCGTGGTATTCTGAATGGCATCGCATAGCAGCCATGCTCTTCTGATCTATTGACTAACTCCATTCACCGGCATTATACAAGTGTCGCAGCCACGCGTACCCTCACAGTCAATGCCAGACACCAGTAAGGGTCGGAATACAGTTGAACGCCGGCGTTGTACCGGCCTTATGGGCACGACGTTTTATTGATGGGAGCCAGGCTTCGTTATCGGGACAGTTGGGCTGGAGCGGCACCGCCAGGCCGCTGCCGAGACCGCACAAACTAATGGGGAAACTTCTGATGAACTGGAAATGGGAAGTGCTGGGACTTGAGTGCCACTCAGAGCGGGAAATCACGGCGGTCAGTATCTTATTAGGGTGGGGGTGAGACCAGTCAAAGCCAACTATAGGACGGCTCAGTAGTCAGTACCCCGTAAAAATGTGTTTATCACCAAAGCGATAAAAGGCGGTAGCTGTAAGTTCGTGGATGTTTCATGTGTTTCATGCATATCATATAACTATATTTACATTACCAATATGACTGTTCGACAAAATATTTTGTAATATAACATGTTTTACTTGCCGCATTCGGAACGAAGCAAGAGAAAGGAGTTTTCACTATAGGTGAACCAATCTGACTGAGATTTTGGCATATACGAACTGATTTCCACAATTTTCATTCAGCGCCGGCGGAGCGCCCATCAAAGCACCGGCCTAATCAATCGTCAAGTTTTAAAACTACTGGCTTCTGATTATCAGTTCACTGATATTTTCCGTTCATTCTATTTCTAAATGGCCGATTTCACAAACAGAAATCTTCACAAGCCGCCTTGTGGAAGAAACTCTTCTCCGGGAGCTCGGCGGGCATTGCTATCGTTCTATTTAAGGCGAGCTAACAATGGGCCGGGGAACAATATCACGATTCTACGCCGGATGCTCCAGGGCCGGCCTGTTCTCCAGATCTCTCGGAACAAGAGTGTCCAATTATTCCTCTCTTATATATCTTGCATAGCTGGGAAAAAATATCTGGGCATTCGAAATAATCGCTTTTTTTCTTAGACCTATGCCATATATTCATTGTCCAGCACATGGATGCTTGATGTATTTTGTGCAATGACGAGTGATGAGGTATGTGCGACTCATGAAACGCGGACCGTATGAACTGTGAATGACTTGGAACCGGCATTCCTTGAACCACATAATGGCCTCCAATTCATAGGTCTTCCGAAGGGATGCCAAACCATGCATGGATTTCCTCCTATTTCGATAAAAAATGAAATAAACTGCACGCGTCTGAACCAAAACAAATTTACATCTCCTTATATTTTGACTAGACATTGTTAGAAGTCCTTTCAATTGATTTGTATACTTCTTGACGAGTTAATTTTTCTTGATTTCGGTTGAGCCCGAATTTATCCGATATTCGACCGACGGACAAATGGGCAAACATACGGGCAGACAGACGGGAAGTTCAACCGGTCGGTCGGACAACCAGCTCGACAGACCGACCGACCGGACAACCGACCGACCAACCAGACAGACAGACAGACAGACCAGACCAGACCAGACCAGACCAGACAGACAGACAGACAGACAGACAGACAGACAGACAGACAGACAGATAGACAGACAGACAGACAGCCGTCTGGCTGCAGACTCACCACGCCGGTGCTGAGCTGCTGCAGGATGCCGCTGCTGGAGCCGGGGGCCACATAGGAGCTGCGCCGGTGCTTCAGGGAGCTGCTGAGGCCGACGGCGCCCAGCGCCGCGCCGGCCGCCGATTTACGCCGGCCCATCGAGCCCGGAGACGGTGTCAGCAGGCTGGTGTTGGGCACCGAGCCGCTCTGGCGAGCAGGTCAGCGGCGGGTCAGGGCGGGGTCAGGGCAGGGTCACAGAGGGGTCTCGGCGGGATTAGGGCGGGCCAGGACGGGGTCTCGGCGGGGTAGGGCGGGCCAGGACGGGGTCAACCCCAAATATGTCTGGAACACGTGTTGCACGGTTACCCACGGTAAACTAATTACATGTTTTTCTATCATTTGTGTTACTGCGCTAAATGTATGCATGCAATTGCCCAAAAGATAAAATTGACATTTGTACCTATTCCTTACTGAGAATGCTGAAGTAACAAATTTTGTTTCCATCATGCTTTTATTGGAAGCCCCTATGAAGGAAAACATTATTTCGCCTGAAACTTCTAACTTCAGGGTCTTCTGGAGCGTCCTTAGAACGTGTAATGCTCCGTAATCCGTATTTCTCAAATGTAAAACAAGACCTGTATGGAGCTAATGAGATCAGAAAACAATATCTGCTGGACATATTTAATGCTCAACGACCAGCCAATTAGTCCACTAATACAACATTATAAAAACAAAGTGTGTTAACCAGATGCTCCAAAAATGTACTCTCATGTATTTACATACTAAATGTGGGACCTACACACAAACGTCATAAATCTGCTTACGTCAGTTCAAACACATATGCAATGTCCTAGATGTGTCATAGGTGAGTTTTCGTCTAACTTTGTTATAAAAAAGGCGCAAAACGAAACACAATGAGCATATTTCTAAGTCCAAAAGCTGCCCAGACAATGTTTTGCAATGCTTGCATTACATCACACAATTACTTAGCTGTGTTTGTATCTGGCTACGTCAAAAGAGAACTTTGGATATTTTTACAATTGTTTGTTCTTGCTGAGGCAGCAAACTTGTAGCACTTGTAGTATTGACAGTAAACATGATAAATAAACCGCATACGCAATGTCAGGAAACAAAAACTATCGCAAAACGGTAAGCGCTGAGTCCCTTGTTGAACAGCGACGTAGTCTAGAGAAGATAAGATGTAACACTCAATTGTCAACGGTGTAACTACGGGCATGCACAAATGTAGGTACGTGTTAGCGGGACGTACAGTGTGCAGTGTGCATTGCATACACAAGGATGAGGTGTTACACCAGGTTGGTGCGGCGACTTCTACCGACTACCGTGTTCTAAAGACATGCGTTTTCTGCCGACGGCCGGGGGTGAAAGACCAACTCACCAGACCGTATCGGTGACTCAGCTAAAAGGCAGAACAGCACCAGCGATGACAGGACCATCGGACACGGCGACACACAATATTTACAGGCAGGATAAGATAGTTGTTCGTGGTAGGTTATCAATAGTCATAAAGATAACTTATCAATGCTTGATACAAGTATCCGTTTCTACACTGGATAAATTTTGTATAGTTATTCCAAAAAGCTAGGTGTGCGAGACGTGTTTTTGGGAGGAAGCACAATGCTAACAATAAAACATAAACTGACATTTAGATTTGACACTCTTTACAAACACATTGACTGGAAACACAAACTAACAGACTGTACAGAATTATCCTGATACCCTTCCCGTCATGCTATCAACTCTTGCGCCTCCCACTCACCCACTAACCTTTCCCCAGTCACTCACGCCCACTCCCCTCCACCTCCCTCCTCGTGCCGGCCCCCTCCTCCTTCTTACCGTGGCCGGGGAGAGGTTGAACATGGAGTTGCGCCGCTCGTTGGAGCAGGTGGACGAGTGGCGCCGGATGGGCAGCAGCCCCGCGCGCAGGTCGCCCGTCGACGAACCGCACGAGTGCGACGCCACGCGGATCTTTGGCGGGTTGAGCAGCTCGTTGTCGGAGAGTCGGCGGCCGATCAGCGCCGAGTGCACGCGCAGCCGGTTACTGTCCGGTGACGACGGGCCTGAGGAGCACACTGCGGAGACTCAGGGACGGTACAGACCACAGAGGGGACGACAGGGCCTGAGGAGCACACTGCGGAGACTCAGGGATGGCACAGACTACAGAGGGGACGGCAGGGCCTGAGGAGCACACTGCGGAGACTCAGGGACGGTACAGACTACAGAGGGGACGGCAGGGCCCGAGGAGCACACTGCGGAGACTCAGGGACGGTACAGACCACAGAGGGGACGGCAGGGCCTGAGGAGCACACTGCGGAGACTCAGGGATGGCACAGACTACAGAGGGGACGGCAGGGCCTGAGGAGCACACTGCGGAGACTCAGGGACGGTACAGACTACAGAGGGGACGGCAGGGCCTGAGGAGCACACTGCGGAGACTCAGGGACGGTACAGACCACAGAGGGGACGGCAGGGCCTGAGGAGCACACTGCGGAGACTCAGGGATGGCACAGACTACAGAGGGGACGGCAGGGCCTGAGGAGCACACTGCGGAGACTCAGGGACGGTACAGACTACAGAGGGGACAGCAGGGCCTGAGGAGCACACTGCGGAGACTCAGGGACGGTACAGACTACAGAGGGGACGGCAGGGCCCGAGGAGCACACTGCGGAGACTCAGGGACGGTACAGACTACAGAGGGGACGGCAGGGCCTGAGGAGCACACTGCGGAGACTCAGGTGGCGGTACAGACTACAGAGGGGACGGCGGGCCTGAGGAGCACACTGCGGAGACTCAGGGACGGTACAGACCACAGAGGGGACGGCAGGGCCTGAGGAGCACACTGCGGAGACTCAGGGATGGCACAGACTACAGAGGGGACGGCAGGGCCTGAGGAGCACACTGCGGAGACTCAGGGACGGTACAGACTACAGAGGGGACAGCAGGGCCTGAGGAGCACACTGCGGAGACTCAGGGACGGTACAGACTACAGAGGGGACGGCAGGGCCCGAGGAGCACACTGCGGAGACTCAGGGACGGTACAGACTACAGAGGGGACGGCAGGGCCTGAGGAGCACACTGCGGAGACTCAGGTGGCGGTACAGACTACAGAGGGGACGGCGGGCCTGAGGAGCACACTGCGGAGACTCAGGGACGGTACAGACTACAGAGGGGACGGCAGGGCCTGAGGAGCACACTGCGGAGACTCAGGGACGGTACAGACTACAGAGGGGACGGCGGGGCCCGAGGAGCACACTGCGGAGACTCAGGGACGGTACAGACTACAGAGGGGACGGCAGGGCCCGAGGAGCACACTGCGGAGACTCAGGGACGGTACAGACTACAGAGGGGACGGCAGGGCCTGGGGAGCACACTGCGGAGACTAAGGGACGGTACAGACTACAGAGGGGACGGCAGGGCCTGAGGAGCACACTGCGGAGACTCAGGGACGGTACAGACTACAGAGGGGACGGCAGGGCCTGGGGAGCACACTGCGGAGACTCAGGGACGGTACAGACTACAGAGGGGACGGCAGGGCCTGGGGAGCACACTGCGGAGACTCAGGGACGGTACAGACTACAGAGGGGACGGCAGGGCCTGGGGAGCACACTGCGGAGACTCAGGGACGGTACAGACTACAGAGGGGACGGCGGGGCCTGAGGAGCACACTGCGGAGACTCAGGGACGGTACAGACTACAGAGGGGACAGCGGGGCCTGAGGAGCACACTGCGGAGACTCAGGGACGGTACAGACTACAGCTAGAGGGGACGGCAGGGCCTGAGGAGCACACTGTGGAGACTCAGGGACGGTACAGACTACAGAGGGGACGGCAGGGCCTGAGGAGCACACTGCGGAGACTCAGGGACGGTACAGACTACAGAGGGGACGGCAGGGCCTGGGGAGCACACTGCGGAGACTCAGGGACGGTACAGACTACAGAGGGGACGGCGGGGCCCGAGGAGCACACTGCGGAGACTCAGGGACGGTACAGACTACAGAGGGGACGGCAGGGCCTGAGGAGCACACTGCGGAGACTCAGGGACGGTACAGACTACAGAGGGGACGGCAGGGCCTGGGGAGCACACTGCGGAGACTCAGGGACGGTACAGACTACAGAGGGGACGGCAGGGCCTGAGGAGCACACTGCGGAGACTCAGGGACGGTACAGACTACAGAGGGGACGGCAGGGCCTGAGGAGCACACTGCGGAGACTCAGGGACGGTACAGACTACAGAGGGGACGGCAGGGCCTGAGGAGCACACTGCGGAGACTCAGGGACGGTACAGACTACAGAGGGGACGGCAGGGCCTGAGGAGCACACTGAGGAGACTCAGGGACGGTACAGACTACAGAGGGGACGGCAGGGCCTGAGGAGCACACTGCGGAGACTCAGGGACGGTACAGACTACAGAGGGGACGGCAGGGCCTGGGGAGCACACTGCGGAGACTCAGGGACGGTACAGACTACAGAGGGGACGGCGGGGCCTGAGGAGCACACTGCGGAGACTCAGGGACGGTACAGACTACAGAGGGGACGGCGGGCCTGAGGAGCACACTGCGGAGACTCAGGGACGGTACAGACTACAGAGGGGACGGCGGGGCCTGAGGAGCACACTGCGGAGACTCAGGGACGGTACAGACCACAGAGGGGACGGCAGGGCCTGAGGAGCACACTGCGGAGACTCAGGGACGGTACAGACTACAGAGGGGACGGCGGGGCCTGAGGAGCACACTGCGGAGACTCAGGGACGGTACAGACTACAGAGGGGACGGCAGGGCCTGAGGAACACACTGCGGAGACTCAGGGACGGTACAGACTACAGAGGGGACAGCGGGCCTGAGGAGCACACTGCGGAGACTCAGGGACGGTACAGACCACAGAGGGGACGGCAGGGCCTGAGGAGCACACTGCGGAGACTCAGGGACGGTACAGACTACTGAGGGGACGGCAAGGCCTGAGGACACACTGCGGAGACTCAGGTGGCGGTACAGACTACAGAGGGGACGGTGGGGCCTGAGGAGCACACTGCGGAGACTCAGGGACGGTACAGACAACAGAGGGGACGGCAGGGCCTGAGGAGCACACTGCGGAGACTCAGGGCCGGCACCACACCGAGGGGATGGCACGGTCGTTAGGACACCGGACTCTCCAGCGTACCTGCCCTTCCTTGCCTCTCCAGTGGAGAAACAGGAGAAGTAAGGACTGCAAATCGATGCTTCGAGGAGGCAGAATGGCACACCGGTGAGCGAACATAAGGCGAAAAGAGACAATACATAAAAGCATTCGTTGACGCCACATACTTTGTACTCTCTTTCGTTACCCAGCGCTTTCGTCCCTCGTAAGCCCCGTCTACCTGCCGATCCCACCATCCACTACCCAGAACCTCCCAGGCCCTTTTGCCCGGACCTTTTTCCCAGATGGACATATGAACTCTCCCCCACCCTAACACCCTTTTCCAAACCCGCCGCCGCCGCCGTTCGTGGTCTCACAAGAGCCGGCCGAGCCGCTGCTCTTGCGGCTGCAGTCCTCGGCGCTGTTGGTCTTGCGCCGGTGCTCGACGCGCAGGTTGGGGATGTGGAAGGCCGGCGGCGACGCGGCCATGTAGTCGGACGAGTTATGGTGGCGCAGAGACACGGCCGACGGCCAGCGGCGCTCCGGCGACGTCAGCACCAGGTCGTCCAGCTTCAGCTTGTTGCGCTGGTTCCTGTCGCAGAGAGAGAGAGAGAGAGAGAGAGAGAGAAAGAAAGAGAGAGAGAGAGAGAGAGAGAGAGAGAGAGAGAGAGAGAGAGAGAGAGAGAGAGGGGGGGGGTTAGTGGTTAGTTTTGCCAATCACACCATTCCTGCTTTTCTGTGATGAATTCCATTCCGTGACGAAATGGATAAATGCAAACCTAACACAACGAATACAATTCCACAGTGAGAACTTGATGTTGGGTGTTGTGCTAAAAAACGCAGACAAGTGCTTCGTCTGTAAGCTCTACGAAATGTAAAAGCGTCATGGCTCATGAAAGTGCTGTATTTGGACCAGAAAGTGCTGTATTTGGACCAGCAACACCGCCCAGAGATAGATGGGTCGGTTGGGTATCCAGGGTATATCCACAGCCTGTGTTACATTGTCCCATTGCTCACGACTTGATCTATCTTGGGCTGAGGCTTGGGCTGAGGCCGTCTACGTGCCCGACAAAGGTGGCGTAACAGCCTCCCCACGCGGCACAAATTGGATTAGTCCTCCATTTGCGCTGATCGAACACGGCGTGAAATTGGTCCTCTGTGCAGCCGACAGCAGCGATTGGAAAAAAACGGCTTCTTCGGAGGGTAGCACTCAGAGAGAGGAAAAGTGGTTCACTAGGTACCACATTTAGTAAAACCGAATGATGCTGTCACAAAACTTGTATGTGCAATAGGTTAGGTACAGGCAAAGGATTATTAGGCAGAATTATTAAACTGTGTATGCCGTATGGGCATTGATTAGGTTGTATTTGGTTGTAGAAATATCACAGCTACCTATAGCTTCGATACAACCCATTTGACATACACAATGTCGATAGAACCTTTAATAATTTCTAAGCTTGCAGACATTGCTTCTCCCAGGTACCTAGGCATCTGAAGAGAGAAAAAAATATCCAATGCAGCAAAAAAAGAATAACCGTTAAATAAAGTAGGTAAGTAAAACTCCTGTGAGAAAACATGATGCATGTATTTCTGGCATGTCACTGTCATCATTTTATCTGTGCCTTAAGTGAGCAAATGACATATTTTTTTCTTAACGTGGCTTTAATTGGGATCTTTGAATGCCAAGAATACCCTCATTCTTTACCTTATCACTGAATCTTTTAAGTGTTTACAAACCCTAAGCACTTAGTTTAACGAGCTGAAACTGTAAGCGAACGACCTAACCGACGTTAAAAGAGAAAAGTCTCGCGGCAAGTCTGTGGTGTGTTGAAAGAACACGGGCTGAAAGATAAATAAGCACAATATTTTATGAGCCCATATACAAGGATGTTTGTCCGTGCAACCGTACACTCATAATGCAGAATATAAATTTATAACATATTTGGTTGCACACATCTAAAAAAGGAAACGCCAGACACCCCTTGCAGTAAGACTCTCGTTCTTGCATACCAATGCTGCTGCAAGTAACAAAACAGTATCCATAGACGACAAAACTGTCAAATTCAAAGAGCATGCAATTGAAATAAAGCTTGAGACAGCATGAGCACAAACCAAACGTCTTTCGGGTTATATTCTCTTCTCACATTCAACATATAGTAGGCTGTCGAGCGAAAACCTATTTGCATTGACCTCGAGGTCACCCATGACGTCACATGTCAGGTTAAAGTAAAAATTATCGGCATTTTGGCTTGTTCACAGTTTAGGCTCTGGCCGCCGGTTTACAAGTCTGATCAGGCTCATTTTTGGCTTACGCACCCCTTGATATATGCCTTAGATACCCAGAGGGTACCGAACTTTTACTTCGATTTTTTTCAGGTCAAGGCCAGGTCATCCTAGGTCACGGAATTTTATAAGTACCTATCATGTATCGGTCACGTGACGCATGTTTTATAGTCCATTTCACTCATGGGTTTTGAAAAAAGTATCGTCTGAATCATTCGAAGTTATTTTTTCATGTGCAACTAGCTTAGGTCAAGTCACTTTCAGGTAAAAAAGGCGAAATTTTGAAAATGATATTTTCAACAAAAAGGTTCTACCAGATGCAATTTGGGCTCATGAACACGATGGCGCTAGGTATTTATACCAGTATAACGCCTTTTGGCGCGACTAACGGAGCGAGCGAGAGGGTGGGCCTTGCACGTGCGAAATTTCGAGGGGGTACCTCCAACTGACTTGTGCACGGCACCCTACTAACCGGTCTCTAGCGATGTGCCAAATTTGAGCACAATCGGCCCAGCCGTTCTCGAGAGCTGGAAGCGGCACCCTGCACGTGCGCACGTGCAAAATGGGTCCCAACTGACTTGTGCACGGCACCCTACTAACTGCTTCCTAACCGTGTACCGAATTTGAGCGCAATCGGTCGAGCCGTTCTCGAGATCTGGAAACGACCCCTGCACGTGCGCACGTGCAGCAGCACCCCAACTCTGGCACATGGATATGCAGTGCCTAGTGGGTGCCTACCTACATGCCAACTTTCAACGCAATCGGCCAAGTAGTTACCGAGATATTGCAACAATTACAAAACTGACACCTCTTCGTTTTGCACGTGGCACGTGCATAAGGGGTCACCCACGTGTATCGGGAATAGTCCAATACTTGGTAGAAGGAATGAAGCTATCCTACAAAAAATTACCGCATGTAAATCGGTCAAGTGGTTGCTGAGATATAGGTAAGCCTCGCAAAAGCGTGACCACGGCCGGCCGCTCATACTCAGAAATTTCCGTTAATCTAAGGAAAGACTACGCTCGCTTCGCTCGCTCCGTAATTACTGCATGATGTAAAAACGTCCTGAAAAATGGATTCGAAAACTCAAAATTTGTGAAATTTTGACTATAATGCGTACAGCTCAGCCATTTTTTTGGATATTGGGCTACAACTTTCCACAGTAGTTAATCAGTGGGTGGACTAGCACATATATTCCGCTTTTTCGAAGTCGAAAAGTTTATGAAAAGAAAAATAAAAAATGCTGTTTTTTTAAATTTTATACCTATGTATATTTTCAGATATTTTCAAAAATTTTGAAAATCCGAGATAGCAGTCTAGTAGGCACGTGTATCCTAAATCCCTTATGTAAAGAAATCGGATCTAGCTTCAAAACTGAGCTTTTGAGAGCGATTGCCGTAGTTCAATGTTTTGCATCAAAATCGGCCAACATGATGTCACTCTGACGTCATTTCCGGACGACCTATGGTAGTTAGAAGGGGAAATTTGAACACAATAGGCCGATATCGCTTGTGCCCGTCATCGCCAAGATCACTGAGCGGATCGTCCAGCGTCAGCTCCATTATTACCTCTCTAGCAACTTTCTTCTCTCGGACAGTCAACATGGATTTCGGCCCAACCATTCGACTGCTTCGGTCTACAATTTTTACAAAGGTCATTTTCAGGTCAGGTCAAAGATGACGTCACAGGGGTCGAAAAAGTCAAAATGGCGGCGCTAGATATGGAGAGAGTTTTTCTCGAATAACTTTCGAATTAGTCACGATAGGAACAAACTAAGGGCATCATCGTGATCCTCTCGTCAATCCGCATCGAATGATATATATGTTGACCTCGAAAGGTCAAGGTCAAAGGTTGACCTCAGGTCACGTGACCTCGAGGTCATCATGTATATCATTCGATGCGTCTTGACGAGCTGAACACAATGAGACCATCCACGCGTCTGTATCTTGTTCCTGTACGGAGTTATTGGCCAAAAACCTTTGGTGACCTTTGATGACGTCACATGACCTCACAGCTGCCCAACAGCAAAACAGACCTCAAGGTAGTGAAGGTTGATCGTATATGAAGTCATGTATGGTATATGGGGCCATTCCGACCCGTTTTAGTGGTAAAAACAGGGAGTTGATTTTTCCCCCATTGACTTATAATGGGGAGGTCGCGAAACTGACCTGACCTTAGGTCACCGATATCAAAATTCCGAGATATACAAATTGCACATACTGGTACCCTAACTAAAGCCTGAAGAGAAGAAATTGATCGGTCAAAAACTCTAGCTCTGGCGTGATTGCAAACTTTTCTGAGGTAGGGTCACCAAACCGCCTCTGGTGACCTGACCTGAGGTCAGATCAACTCAAAATTTTGAGACATGTTGCGTAGAGGCCTTATAGGAAAAGTCAGAAAATTTGAGCTTCCTAGCTCAACGCGTTTGGGAGAAATAACCAAAAAACCTCAGGGGGGGCTCCTGAGGCCCCCCCCCCGCCAGGAATAGGGTTAACGTCTCCGATAGTATACTCTCAGCTATGGACAACAGCGAAATTTCTCTCCTGTGTCTCATTGACCTAAGTAAATGCTTTGATATCATCAACCATTCTAAATTACTTGACAAGCTCCAACTACTTGGGATTGACGCTGGATGGTTCCGCTCATATCTTGAGGGCCACACACAGAGTGTATGTATCAGTGATGGTAGGGGTCACCGCGTACTCTCCAAGTCACTGCCAAACCATGTTGGTGTCAGGTGTGTTTCAAGGCTCGTCCCTCGAGCCTTTGTTGTTCACTTGCTTTGCGAACGACATGAGCCTGCATGCCCTTGATGGGCGTATCGTTCAGTACGCTGACAATACGCAGGTGCTCGTCAGTGGCCGTAGGACAGCGATGAGCGACACAGAGACTAGAATGGAGCCCTGGCAGCCCTCAGTGACTGGTTTGCGGCCAATGGGTTGAAAGTAAATGCCACCAAGACTGAATTGATTGCGTTTGGCAGCCGGCAGAGCATGCGTCACCTGCCTGACATAAATGTAAGATTTAGAGATGCCGTCTTGAAACCGTGTCAAAAGGTCAAGAATCTGGGCGTGACCTTCGATTCTTACCTCACCTGGGATGACCATGTTGCTGCCATTGTTGGTAAATGTTTCGGAGCGCTGATAGGATTGAGCCAGGTGCGCCACTACATACCCGAGGATACGATTGTGACGCTTGTGACTGCCCTTGTTCTCTAACATGTGCGGTACTGCCTGCCCGTTTACGGGAACTGCTCGAAAGGGAACCTCGTACGACTTGATAAGGTCATTAATTTTGCCGCAAGGGTTGTGTCTGGCCATCACAAGTATGACCACGTGGCTGATGTAAGGGACGCGCTGGGGTGGCTCTCGGCTGGTGACCTATCGTCGTACGATACGCTGGTGCTACTGCACAAGGTTATCCGAACGGGCGAGCCAGCTGACATTGCCGCTTATGTTTCGCCGAAATGAGGAGATGCGCGAGCGAGCGACTATGTAGACGAGATAGCAGGCTGTGGCTACGTCGCTTTCAACACTGATTTAGGCTTACGCATATGGGTTGCATATATTCATGCATAGCCATGCGTTTTGGTGAGTTTTGTGTGATATGTTGAGTGTGATGTCTTTTTGTTCCCTTCTCATATGACGCGGGAGCGTAATAGCCACAACTACCTGTGGATGCCCCCCAGATGTTAAATACAATACAAAATACAAGGTATCAAATTGATGCTGCTGAAGGTATTGCAAGGTTCGTGTTGATGCGTCAAGTAATTTATAAGATATTGCAGAAAAACGGGAGGGAGCCCCCCCCCCCAGCCATGTAGATTGTAGGTACGGGTTAACGATAACCAGCCTAGAAAACCACCGTCTAGTGTCGGCTCACCGGTCGATGGTGTCCAGCATCTCCTGCAGGACCTCCAGCAGGCTGGTGAACTGGTCCAGGTGCAGCGCAGCGTTCATCGTCAGCGGCAGCAGCGACGGCATCACCCGCGTGGCCATCAGGTTCACACTCAGACCGTACTTCTTGCTGTCCGTCAGCATCACCCGGTATATGTCTGCGGCGAGGGGAGGGAGGAGAGAGAGAGAGAGAAAGAGAGAGAGAGGGGGAGCGAGAGAGAGAAGAGAGAGAGAGAAAGAGAGAGAGAGAGAGAGAGAGAGAGAGAGAGAGAGAGAGAGAGAGAGAGAGAGAGAGAGAGAGAGAGAGAGAGAGAGCAGATGTTTAGTAATTAACTGCAGTATTCACGAGCAGGGCTGGGAAATCTCTCATACTTTCATACCCCAGTAGGTAGCAGATATCGCTTTATTGTTCCATCAATTGTAGCAAAATCAACATTTCTCTCTTCCGTACATCATAAAGAAAAATACGATAAAAACATCAAAATTCGCACATTTTTAAAATAGAGGTACCACCAGCCAGTGATCTCGTCGGCGAATAAGAACAAAACATCTGTAAGACTAACACGAGTTCAAAACGTCAGCTTTGTGCTCCATTTTATGACGAATCTGGCGGCTCTTTGTAGCAGTTTCCATTGTAGCATCACTAATTCTTCATACTCTGAGTCGTGTAACAAAAGGTATCTGCTACGCCTTTTTATGCGCTATCTTTCTTATAAATATTGCAAAAAGGAGTTTCATTATTTGTGAAATATTCAAATGACATACTTACGAAACAAAACAAATTGTTTTTAAAAGGGCATTGTTCAATGATCAATAAAAATACGAAAAGAATCAACTCATTCTGCCCATGGCATCTCTAAAAGCCATCTTTTATGATACAGTGTCCTGCAACGTCTTTAATCCTTTTTGATGACGTCATAGACAATTTTATTCAGTTTTTAATGTATTTTATTGGTAAAATCATACTCATTTGAACCAAATTAGAGTTTTAAGGACTAATGAACATTTTTTGTAAGTTTTATTAAGAAATCTTGTCAAAAATATGCAAATTACGTCATTGCCTTTTGTGTATTTTGTTGATGCATTGTTTCTGGCGCATTAGAGACAATTCTAGTTGTTTCGCGTGGATAGTTCAGTTGAGTTTGATGAGTGTTTCTGGGTGTTTTTGAATTATTTCAGCTATTTTAGCTTTCATTTTGCCTCTTTTTTAGGAAAGTGGGATATTCCAGGCCTAATTTCAAGTGTTGCAATGACAACTGTCCCTAAAGCGGCGTGCAGTACACAGTTAAAGAGCAAGGTAGCCGCCCAGCACGCAAAGCAAGATGTGTGAAGACATAGGGAGATACCTATGATCGAATTTGCGCAGAAGGTGAGATCTGATTGAAATATTGATCAAGTAACGCCCAGAAAAGAATTTTTTATTAACTTCGTTACATGTTCAATTATTGTATTAACTCTAAACCTTGATTGGTGGCAACTGGCAACTTTTGTACAGCGGGTTCGGCATGCACAATGATTGTAAATTGTTGACCAGACTGAGCAGCCAAATCAACCTGATGTCTTTCGAATACTTTCTGCCTGAGTAGGCTGTTACCATCTGAATCCTGAAGTTGCTGAAATGCTGATAGGAAAATTCTAGGGCTCACTGGAGCTCTCTGGTGCTCTCAGGTGGTGCTGGAACTTGCCCTGAGAAAGCCCTACAGCACCTTATTTTGTTATTTGTATGCTTTTTCTAAACCTGAGTAGTGAGTACCTACAAAGAGTAAATAATAAGAAAAAGCACATTCACGGGGCATAAGCAAGACACTGCATCTGTTTTTGTTTGTGCAACCAACTAAATAAAAACATTCAAAGCTCAATTTGAGAATAGATTGAAAATGAAAGTGGAAAGCTCTGTCCAGAATTTTGATTACTTGTAAAATCATTTTCTCTAGCAGAAATGATGTGGAGGAACATTTGTGGCAATGTAGCTAATAAAGAGTTTCTCGTAATATCTGGTATGTAGCAGATTCAGCATTTTTCCCAGCCCTGTTCACGAGGTTAGAGTCTTAGACCCATGAGTAGATTACCTATATCATATATGTATTATATTCACCTAGCCTTCATGCACGGATATTTTCATAAAAAAGGGAGAAAGCAGTATTAAGTTTGAAACGATATATTAACCCGCGCCCCGCTGGGCTAGTCAGCCATACGCGCCCTGCTGGGGGGGGGGGGGTAGATTCTGCCCCCCCCCCCTGTCTAACTTCCGAACCGATGGTCGTAGAAAGACGGGGAAAACGGCAATCGAAAGCTCTCAACAAGGCGGATCTTAACCCGCGCGGGGCTGGGGTCTCCAGCCGAACGCGCGGGGCTGGGGGGGGGGTAAATTTTACCCCCCCTGTTATCTCCCGAACTAATGGTCCGATTTGGAAAATTCAAACGCCAATCGAAAGCTCTCATCACGAACTACTAGAAACATGTACTTAATTTAAAGTTTGAGGTCAAGGTCAAGGTCAGGTCAAGGGTACAAATTGCAAGTTTCTACAGTATCGGCCTTGCACCGTAGTTGCCGAAGAATGGAGTCATGGACTGAGACTGATCGCCCAAAACGTGTTCTTAGGCTACCAAGACAATATTCGTTGCATACAATATCATTCAGAGGTCAAGGTCAAGGTCAGGTCAGGTCGGGTTAGGTCACCAAAAAACAAAATATAGAAAAGGGCATGTGCGACACATGTTTTATGGGTCATTTTACTCATAGAATTCAATAGGCACACTCAATAAGTGATATGGACCACCTCTGGATGAATTTCAGGTCGAGGTCAGGTCAAAGTCAGGTCAAGTGAGGTCAAATTTTGAAGTTGGTTGTTAAGGCCTAAAAAGGTTTCTATCTGATGCAGTTTTTCACGGCGAATCGAATGGTGCTATTTTTGTTTCCGTACGAGGTCTAGAACTTCCAAAAAAGTTATTTTTCAAAATTTTGTGTGTCGTGACGTCATAAAATTTTGAATAACTCCCACATTTTTGAACCGATTCTTCTAAAATTTGGTATGTAGGTGCACATAGACCACTTCTCTGACATATATTCCGGTTTTTTTCGATAGACTCAAAATTTTGGATTTTATAATGATTTTCCCAAAAAAGTCAGTTTTTTGAAAAAATTTAGGCCAAAATCCAAAATTTTCAAAAAACCGAGATAGCCATTTGATAGACAAAGTAAAATTACCTATAAACTTTTTTGTTACGTCTTGATTCCTTTAAAAATGAAGATGTTAGCGGCGTTTGAACTTTTGCCGTTTTTGAGGCGAAAATGGCGAACATGACGTCACTAAAACGTCAATTTCTCAAAAATTTTCCGACGGATTTCGCTCAAATTTTCAGGGAACGTGTCAAATTGATGTAAGAAAAGGTACTGAAAGTTTGGCGGCGCTGCGCGCCGCCGTTTTTTAGATATCGCAAAAATTCGCGAGGGGGGGTAAAATTTACCCCCCCCCCCCAGCCCCGCGCGGGTTAAGAGCCCAAATTTTTTTGCTTAAGTAAGTCAGAGGTCAGGTCAAGAGTCAAGAGTCAAGAGTTACAGTAAAGAGTCAGTTTTTTTGAAGAAAAAAAATTGGGCCAAAATCCAAAATTTTCAAAAAACCGAGATAGCCATTTGATAGACAAAGTAGCATTACGTATAACCTTTTTGTTACGTCTTGCTTCCTTTAAAAATGAAGATGTTAGCGGCGTTTGAAATTTTGCCGTTTTTTAGGCGAAAATGGCGAACATGACGTCACTGAAACGTCAATTTCTAAAAAAAAAATCCGACGGATTTCGCTCAAATTTTTAGGGAACGTGCCATATTGATGTATGATAAGGTACTGGAAGTTTCACGTCGCTGGCGTAACGCGTTTAGAAGTTATTGGCGAAAAACGGGAGGGGGGCAGATTCTGCCCCCCCAGCGGGGCGCGGGTTAAAGATTTCAAATAATTCCGTTTGTAATTTTAATTTTGGAGACGGGCGAGAGTCCTAAGCCAGAACTAGTTTGCCATGAAGGCACATAATGGCAAATCCGAACAATCAGCTTCTTATGTATATTTATTTTTTATTCTTTTTGTTTCTTTCTATTTATTCTTGTCTGAATCGTGTTTATGAGCAAAAACAAAACAGAGGCTACATGAACAGCACTTCGTACAATTTCGTTGTTAATCATAATTCGATAACTCGTCATTCACTGTTCAGTCCATTCCTCTGAACGATGATAGGTGGGACTTGCGACAGTTTTCACGCACTATGATAGCAAGAACTAGGGTTACCCGCATGCTCCGCAACGCGAAGGGGGGATTTTTTGACCCGTGGGTATTGGGTTGGTCTGTGTCGATTTGGTTGGTAGATATCCATTTCGTTCGATTGCTTTTTGACGGCCAAGCATTTTGTAATAAAAAGATACATCGCATCGAGGTGCCGTGTCGTATTATCATGCGTTCTACTACTTTACAATGATTCGAAAACTGGCGTGAAGTCTTTTGAGGGCCATCGATGAATTTTGCTAAAAGGGGCATTCCAGGACGATTCAACAGGTGCATAACACCCGACCCCCTCAGATTTTCTTCAAAATTGCTGTATAGGGTTATTTTGTGCCCAGAAGCCGAATCTGAGATTTGTAGACCTGTAGGAGCAACGGTTTTTGAGTTATAACATTGGGAAATTTTGGAAAGTTAAAAAACATCATTGTATTTTAGTAGCTATATCTCTTCGAAAACTTTTATTAAACTATAAAAATTATACATATTTGAACTCGCCACATCACAAGCTTTCTGATGGTATGCAAAATTTTTCAAAATTTTGAATTTTTAATTTTCCGAAAATTGCTCAAAAATTTATTTCAAATTTTTCAAAGTGTGGCCAGTTAAATAAAATTTATTTTTTTTGCTTTTATTAATGCTTAGGGTATTGGGAAACTATATTGTGAAAATTGGAGATAGGTATTTTTTATAAATATTTTATTTTATTTTTTTACTTTCTCCATGTAAATATACCATTTTGCTTTGATATGGTGCCGACGGTGCTATCTCGGGAACGGATGATGGTAGCGCGCCGGACGAGGCGGCAATGGAAAGATCTCAACGAGATGGATCTAGACATTGTCCGAATGTTGTTCTTAAAGGTCACGGGTCAGGTCAAGGTCAGGTCAAAGACCAAAATTCCAGGTTCCCATTCCCCGGCTGCTCCTGAGGCACTTTCATAATGATGAAGCGATGTGAAAATCGCACAGCATGCGTCCAACATATTTATAAAGGCGGTGAATCAGTAAATATGCAATCACAAGGTGAGGTCAAGGTCAAAATCAGGTCACGAAAGGTCATGATGAATAAACAGGGATTAGGGACATGCGACACATGTTTTATGGGTTATTTTCCGATTCCAAGTCAATGGTGATGGGCATTTGACCATTCGGGACCAAATCAGGTCAGATTAGGCCAATGCCAAGGTCAATGTGTAAAGTTGCTGTTTCTATGTCGGCATTAAAATACCTACCTAATAAAATTGTATGATATATGGCTATACTAGAGTAATGAGTGAAATGAAATGAATAATTTTTACATTTGTCTCTGTTTCCAAATTTTCATTTGGCCCATCCCGAAACCTATCGCTATATCATCTGCGCCTGTGACAGACCAGTCACTGCGAGCTCGGCTCGCTCGAATGAGCCTTGGCGCGGTGACAGACGACGCGCCGGTCCATGCGGTCAAAACAGCACAATAAAATCATCGGGTGCCATAAACGCATAGGGTGACGTTGGTCGCTGGTCACAGCTGCGCGGGCCAGTTGCGGGATGGGGACTCCAGTCTTCCGAAAGTCACCGCATGCGACAGTGGGTGTGAACCGTTCGTGCTTGGAAATGTCACCACGTGCAGCAAGAAATTACTGCCAGGGTCCGTTTGATTGTCATCATCCGAATCGAGTGCTGAAAGGAGTTCAGAGAGTATCCGCAAGACTAGTGAGTGAAGTGAATGACGACAGGGTAGGAACTGGTGCATTTTTATGCGTTTCCTGATCAGATACTTTTCAGACGGCTCAGCAGCACAGTACAAAAACCGCTTCAACTTTTCAAATATCTGCGCTCACAAAAGTGACTGGGCTAGACTGCGACTGGCAATTTTTTGCCACCTCGCACGGGAAAGGCGCATGTGACGGCCTGGGAGGCACCGTGAAGAGAGCGACCGCTCTCGAGAGTCTACGCAGGCCCACAAGGGAGCAAATCACAAACGCTACCGAAATGTTTGAGTTTTTAAGTGACAAATTCGAGACTACAGTGAACTTTGTATTCGTGTCGAGGGTCGAAGTCGAAAAAGCTGCAGAACACCTCAAGGAGCGTTTCAGCGAAGCGGTGGCAGTGAAAGGCACGCAGAGTCTGCACTGCTTTATTCCGGTCAACCACGAGACACTGCGAGTCTCAAAGTTGTCAGGGGGACCAGGCCGGCTGGTGAAAGTGCACCGCAGTAGGGCACTGAAAAGACGAAAGTGAGCCCGCGTAGACTTGCTAGCACCCCTGCCGTGTGTGCACTGTATTGTTGGTGATATGTGTGCCCAATACATTTCAACGAGCTGGTCACCAAAATGTGTGTTGTATTTCCTTCGTTGAACAAGGGATTGGTTGACCTGACCGTGACCTGACCTGAACTGACCTGATTTTGTCCCGAATCGTCAAATGCCCATCACCATTGACTTTGAATTGGAAAATAACCCATAAAACATGTGTCGCATGCACATCATCCCTTTTTATTCATCATGACCTTTCGTGACCCGACCTTGACCTGACCCGTGACCTTTAAGAACAACATTCGGACAATGTCTAGATCCATCTCGTTGAGATCTTTCCATTGCCGCCTCGTCCGGCGCGTTACCATCATCCGTTCCCGAGATAGCACCGTCGGCACCATATCAAAGCAAAATGGTATATTAACATGGAGAAAGTAAAAAAATAAAATAAAATATTTATAAAAAATACCTATCTCCAATTTTCACAATATAGTTTCCCAATACCCTAAGCATTAATAAAAGCTAAAAAATAAATCTTATTTAACTGGCCACACTTTGAAAAATTTGAAAGAAATTTTTGAACAATTTTTTGAAAATTCAAAATTCAAAATTTTGAAAAATTTTGCATACCATCTGAAAGCTTGTGATGTGGCGAGTTCAAATATGTATAATTTTTATAGTTTAAAAAAGTTTTCGAGTAGATATAGCTACTAAAATACAATCATGTTTTTTAACTTTCCAAAATTTCCCAATGTTATAACTCAAAAACCGTTGCTCCTACAGGTCTACAAATCTCAGATTCGGCTTCTGGGCACAAAATAACCCTATACAGCAATTTTGAAGAAAATCTGAGGGGGTCGGGTGTTAATTTGCACCCATGAGCTGTTGAATCGTCCTGGAATGCCCCAAAAATGACGATGCAATGGTTTGGAACATTTACATTTTTAAGAATACTGTTGCTCATCATGCAAAAATGAAGACTGAACCTTGGACGGAATTGAATGCTCTATCCAATGGTACCATATTCAATTGCCAAAGGTATCAGGTTATGCAGCAAACCCCGTGTGATTAATAAAGGGGCACAAAATTGACAAACACCATTTTCTCCTGTGATTTGTACCACCTTGATTTGGATCAATCAGCTTTTCACAATTTTAATATGAGAGGCGGTACATTTCTCTTGCAAATAGGCGTTGATTCAACTCGCTCCATTTAACGGTCACCTAAAAATAAAATTAATTCCAAAATCCCTCAAAAACCGCAATTTTTCAAATAAAAGTGCCCTCTCCGGTGCACGTGGCGCGTGCTATCCTCTGCATTGCACACCATTCAATAGCCCGTTCAATTCTGTGCACGATGCTGTTTTCCCCGTGCCGGTCGGACCCCTGGTCACCAAGATATTGCACGGGAATTGGACCCGTGTCGGCCAAAATTAGCCGTTTTCGCCCGATTTCGCACGCCGATTTATACATGTAAAGTCTATGACGCGACTTTTGCACTTTTTGAGCACGCACCACGCGCTCCCTATCAATCCGATCGAGCTGAGACCCCTCAAAGGCACGTCGCGCATCCTTGATCTATAAGTTGTGCAAATTTCACCGGGCTAGGTGCAATGGTCTGGCCTGTAGTCCACGCAAAGCACCACCAAGTCGGGACCTCGGTAACGGACAGACGCACCCTCCTCAAATAGTAATATAGATTGAGAGAAACAGATAAGACTAACGTGTCGAGTAACTTGATGTTTTTGCAATTGGATTGAGCGGACAGCGTTGATAGCAATAGGAACACGTTTAATTTAATCAACGCAGCTGACTGGACTGAAACAACTGGTGATCCACTTCATAAAGTTAGTACAGAAGTGTCCGCTGCTGTTGCTACATTTGGCTGCTTGCTATGCAAGAGGGTCGTTTAGGACTCTCAACTAAGGAAGCTCACATAAATCAAGTTGGAAATGCTGGTGAAGCTGTATTTCCTGCTGTGAAATTCGCATTACGCTCATCCAGATACGAGCTCATCCAAGATAAGTGAAACTGGAATTGAACCAGCTCCAGTGGCACTAGTGTTAGATTGAATGTATGCGGCGACCATGTGTTTGTTATGAGCAAATAACCACTCGTTCTAGAAGTGAAATTAACACATAAGAAGAGCATACATTAGACATTTTAAAAAGTTATCCAAGCCGTACTAGATAATTTAATGCGAAGCAGACTGAGCCACGGATTCTGCCGTGTCGGCGAGTCTAATACGCCGACACGGCAGAGCCGAGATCTGGTATAGCGCGCCCACGGACTCTAGAGCTAAGGCAGGTTATTCCGCAGACCGGGCCGGGGTACGGTCAAGCAGACCCCTAGAAAACTTACAGGTACTGACAGCGACATGTATCTCGTTTACTGTCCGCGTTCCTGATGTAAGTACCCCGAGGAAGCGTCCTGACGCGAGCCTGCATAAGCCAGAAGACTCCTTGACGGGCCATCTGTACTTGGCCTGCATATGACGTCTGGATCTCCGAAAACTTACTGACGGTGGACCGAACACCAATGCACCCTATTTACTTACTGACGGCGGCGTGTATGACGTCCCATAGACCACGGTTCCTTACTGACGGCCGCCTGTGTGACGTCCCATAGAGCACGGTTCCTTACTGACGGCGGTCTGTGTGACGTCCCAGAGACCCTTCATTACTTACTGACGGTGGCCTGTATGACGTCCGGGTCCTGCAGCTTGTTGTCCCACAGCAGCGGCAGCAGCTCGTCGAGGATGATGCGCCGCTCCAGCTTGTCCATCACCTTCTCCACGGCCAGCAGGGTGTACAGCGTGATCTGCGGCAGCGCCATGGATCAGTGACGGCGGCGGGTGACAGGGATTGTGGACGGGCTACATCCCTCACCATGGCAGTGAGGGAAAACACATCGAGGCCACAATATTGCAGGCATCACAGAGGCAGCATTCTGCTTAAAAAAATACTGTCTCAAGAAAGTAGAAACTGTTACTTGACATGCACTGCCAATAAATGCACGTTATTTTAGGCTGTAATGGATTGAAACAAAACAGTGACAACGGCGATTTCTTTCATCGTCTTTCACATCGAGAAGCTGTCGCCATCAGTACTCAATGAATGATCCACACACAGATGTTACATCAAAGGTGAAGGTCCATTCAACTGAGCAGACGCATGATTGAATCACCGTTTTCGGGGCCTCGAAACTTCGGACCTTTGCAGTCCGATCGAGTGCCGATTGAAGTGCATTAAGCCAACTCGAACGGAGAAAACACGGCCACAGCCGACAGACACGACCAGCTGGAGGAGTTCCCGCCTTTCAGTTCGGCCCGCTTTGATCAGGGCCGTTTCCGGACTTCAGAGGAGGCTGGAACGGACCATCTCAACGGCTGCCGATCGACACAAGTCCGCGACCGGAGTTCAGGGCCGAACGCCCGTCTCCGGCGAACGATAAGCTAAAAGCATCTCCGTGATGAGCCATTGAAACAACTTGAAACATTGCGCTGCAGGGGAGTTTCATTTCAATTCTCATCTCCCTTTCCCGTACCATTTTGTACGGTCGCAGCAAAAAGGTTGAACTAATGAGTAATGCGAGCGAGGACAATCGACTTATTTCGTTACTAAAAACGGCAGATGGGGTTTAACGGCTTGTCCCGCGATGCTGTCCAAAATCAGCCCGCATTTTTCTGCCAACTGCGGAAAACAATCTTCATATTGCGCTCGTCGCCCGACCTGCTTCGTCGGCGAAAACATGTGCAGAGGAGAAAAGCGAGAACCGCCCGGTCGGAGCCGGCAGCTCCCAGAGAGACACGAAATGGAGTTTTAATATGGCGCGCCGCGCTCAGTTATGCGTGGCTTTGTTTTCACTGACAAAGGTTGGTAATTAAAGCGACGAAATGGATCTGCAGCCTCTTTCTTTGCATTAGCTTGGTCCCGGGACAGTTTTTTATACGCAGAGAAGGATGCTCTGCGCACCACGCAGTTGAAAAGAATAAAAGCTTACATATTTAAATATGGAATGCTTGTTTGCATTAGCGTCGCCACGGGGGGGCAAGCGGGGCAGCTTGCCCCCCCCCCCCCCCAACCTCGGACCGGGCACCCCCTGAGATCGATACAGATCCGATGAGATTTTGGAGTCGGGGAAAAATGGGGGGTACCTTTCTGAGAATGCCTGTGAGGTCAGACTCTGTTGGAGCGTGCAGTTCAAACCAAAGTCAGAGTCGCAGTCGCCAAAATCTTCAAGACTCCGACTCCAGACTCGGAAATGTCAATGCCATGATTCATGCCATGTTCCTAGTTGGTTCTTTATTACATTTTGTAGCTGATTTTCATAAGTTTTGGAGTGCTGACACATAATTTTCGTTCAAAGCGTGACACGAAATCTTCGGGGCCTTTCTCAACTCTCGTCAAATGTCTGCGACAGGCACAAGTACCGTTCAAGTGCTACAGGGATCTTTGCGGACATTATACATACGTAGACCTCTGAAGGGCCACACGAATCTTTGAGGATGCCTTCGAAAATTTCTGAAAACCTCAACTGGCCTATGATAGTTCAGCCGAACTTTTGAGGCGACAGACTTTACTAACCCCAACCCGGCATCTGAGGGGTCACAACTCACGTGTCCCTCTGAGGGCCGCAACACAAGTTTCTTATGCCCCTACCAACGTAGGGTCCTTAAGGATTCGACACAGACCCCGACGGTTCACACTGTTATTCGAGGGCTCCAGGCTCACCCTGGGCCTAGTCTCTTAGCGCCCGCCGCCCACACTGGCTTCTGAAAGCCCGTGTGCCCTAAAGGGCTTTCCGGGCCCACCTTAGGCTCGGAAAGCCCTAAAGCACCACATACACGTAAATATTTGGGGTGACCCACGCCGATCTCCGGGATCCTAAGCAGGCTTCTGAGAGTCCACACTGACCCTGAGTGGCCTGAAATGGCCTCACAATGTCTGACACGATACATACAATGGCCTGGAAGTCGCAATCCTATCTCTAAGGGATCCCTTGCCGCTATGCCGTGCGTAACTTTTGGTTCCGTTAAATATTTTTGGTCGCGTTTGCAGCGCTTCCCTTCACTCGAAAAACCAGAAACTTTTTGTTCACACTCGAGTGAACAAAACACTTCTTCTCACTGCAGCAAGGATGAAAGATGTACTTCCGATTCACACTTCCGACATTCTCTCTCAGTCTCCGCCGAATGCCCAATTCTTAGCTACAATCGGCGGGTGGGATAAGCCCTATGCATTTCACGTAAAACCTCGGCATGCATGCGTGTGATGGAGGTTTTAGCGAGGTGATCCGATTCAAATGGAGCGTTTTTCACCTTCTTCTGGGTAATGATCATGAGCGACGAGAGTCTGCACAGGGGCCCTCTGCAGTGCGTCGGCAATAGCAGCCACTGTAATTCTAACAGTCGTTTTTGTCCAGAAATTTCAAATTTTTTTTTTTTTTTTGTAAAAAATACATGCTATAGCTAGACGGAAAACTTTGTCACCATCGGATTCCTCGCACCATTGCGCGTCGAATGATATGTAAAACGAGTGAGTAACGGCTGGGGAAAGGCAAGATTTAACACAAAACTTGATTTTGCCCCCCCCCCCCAACCAAAAATGTCTGGCGACGCCTATGCTTGTTTGACAATAATTCAGATTTAGTATAAGCAAAACTCTATTACGGAATTTGCCTTCGGTACAGGTATTCCTTCGGTATACACGTCAGATACTAAGTACGAGTACAAAGGGCAAGAGCAGAAATATTGTTAATATGATACAAAACAGCGAACAGACTGCATTGAAGAGAAGCGGGTGGGGACGGGCCGCCTGGGCGACTCGACCTAGTATCTCCTGGATCCCGAGTTCGCTCCAGCGGTCGCTGTTTACTCTTGTTTCGAACAGCGTCTCCAGTGCCAATAATCCGATTCCGAGAGCGGCCTACGATCGGGAAGTCGCTCATGCGGGTGAAAGGACAAGAGTTTAACATCGGAAAACACAGGTTGGATGTAACAAAGACTGTAAGTTAAAAATGCGCCAGTAAATATTTGAACAATGCTGCTTTCAATTAATGCGTACAATTTTGTGTTGTGTTGAACATTTTATTTTATCAATACCTAGGTGTGTACATACATATTTCATGTACCTATTTTCAATCCTTTCCTCAGTGAAACAGACCATTTTCCCAACATAAGACTCCTCTTAGGCCACTGACTAAGTCAGCGGTTTGAGACGCCAGACCGGAGGCCGTATACCCACCCTCAGCTGGGCATGCCAGGCAGCAGGGCGGACCCACCCCTTCATAAGGTCACCGCACGCTATCCATTCGGCCGCTTCATTTGGCCGTTACAGAAGCGATTTTCTCGCGCAAATATTGATTTTTATCTTTTGAGCGGAACACGTCACCAAATATATTGCCTGAATTTACCGATCGTATGCCAAGAACAGTGTGGCCAAATTGGTGATGTTGCGGGGAAAGTCACCCCCAATGAAAAGTATAATGACATCCTCAGAAATTTTAAAATTACATCATCACAACGTTTTTGTTGTGAAAGCATACCTAGTGTAGGAATAAATGCTAAAAATGTTCCAATGTACGATTTGCACCGTCATACCTACTCGTACTGTCGCGCTTGCAATGTTTTTTTTTTTTTACATCTTTGATGATAATAGGTATTTGATTTTTTTTACCTTCCACCAGAGCTTGACGTCAGGTATAGTTATTTCCACATAACTTGTAAAAACTGCACCTAAAATGACACTGAAGACGAGTTTTTTGAAAATAGTGACATCCTCTTACGACTTTTTTATACATCCTCCCCCTAACGCTAAACCAATTTGGCCACACTGGCCAAGAAACTCAAATAATTTTAGTTCTAGTATGGTCTTTCTTGGTAACTCGGTCGGTATAGAGACTTGCACCCGAGAACATCGCTGCACTATAACCCGGCAGTTGCTGGGGTATTTCGCCACCCACCGTTTCGCCATCCACGGCTGGGGGCGTTAAACGCCCCCAGCCGATAACTCGAGAACCAATAGGCGCAGCGAAACGCACGAGGCGGCAAACGAAAGAACGCGACGAGACGCTTCAGATGAGTGCCTTTAAGTTGAATTTTGAGGTCACAGGTTGGGTCAAGGTCAGGTCAAACACCTGAAATCGGGCTTTCAGTAGCATGGACTTCAGGACTTCGCAATGGGCGCCTCTCGTCATAAACTCTGTCAAAACGGTGCATAATCCATCATATAAGGCCTACAAGAGTGTCAGCTCCATGTAGGGGTCAGTCAAGCATAGGTCAGGGTCAAGGTCAGGTCAACCGGGTAGGCACATATCCCCGAAAATCAAAACTGATGTTCGCAGCCTGTGACACATGTTTTATGGGTAATTTGGGGCGTAGAACACGATGGTGACATTCATTTTATCATATGTGTACGTGTTTGGCTCAAAAAGTTCAATTAAAGAAATGCATGTATCATTGTCATGAAGTAGTCACGAAAAATTGCCAAGATTCAGTTCAAGATTTTGGAAAATGCGGAACGATAATCAATAATCGAAGATAGCCATGTGATTGCTCATGGTATTGGCAGTCTAATGGCGTTTACGGCATGTCTGTATGTCTATTCTGTGATTTTATATGATTTTTTGAACATATGTCGTTTTTGGTCGAAAACTCAGAAATCATGACGTCACTAAAACCTCGATATCTCAAAAATTTTCCGACCGATTTTTTTGAAACTTTGTCACAATAAATTTCAATCAATTCCCTACAGGTACCCAAAATTTGGCGCGCCGTTTTTATGCTATGGCCCGGCGAAAAAAGTGGGGGGGCGTTTAACGCCCCCCCCCCCCCAGCAACTCGCGGGATAACGGCCGAATGAAGCGGCAGACAGGATAGCGTGCGGTGGCCTTTAGGCTGCACCACCCGACAGCCCGGTGGACGAATAGCACTCGAACTGACACCTGGCCTTGCCAGCTGCGCCACCATGCTTCGCCCATTCGTTAGTCTGTCGATATCTTGTAAGTTTGTATACTAAATCGAATAAATCCAATCAAGAGAAAAGTCACCGCGTTGCATTTTGTTTTTCATATAGCATTTTGCAATGGGAGGGAAAGGTCAATGGAATCATCATAAATATGTCATGTGCTCTCTACTAGACCACTTTATAATTTGACTTAAACCGCCGACCTACTACAGCGGGATGGTATAAATCGCTCGGCTATATTCAGCGGGGCCGCCCCAAGTTGGGCTCGGCCCCGGCTGACTATTCTGGGCCGGATGCGGCTCGCTCTGCAGAGTTCTGATGGCCGCGTCTGGGGAAGTTCGATAATCAAGTTAGCACGTTTGCGGCCGTATCAGCGAGCGAAATGAAGCCAGACCAGCACGATCGGTATACCGCGCTATAAAGTTATCGATACGCCAGAGACCGCACTAACGTCACGCTCCCATGAGCTGGAAAATGGTGTCGAGGTGATAGTGATAATGAAAATATGAATAACGAGATGAATAATGCATTGTGGCTACATTTCCCCTGAAGTATTGACATATGAATTTGAATGGTAGCCATATGCCGCGGTGGCACATCCCCCCCCCCCAACCAATTCGGTATTGTTGGAGACTAACTATAGTCAACATAATCACTCACTAGCTCGTCTTTTGCTCGCTTGCTCTTTCTTTACCAGACCCAGCCCTTAGCATATGAAATGAGGTTCGCAAAACATCATGCCAATGATAACTGCAAAAGGTGAAATCGAAGATTAAAACGGGTCTTGAAAAGCACCCTACGAATAAATTTCATTTTATCTTCTCTTTGAAAAGTGCCAACAAACGAGTTCACCATAAAAAATTGGAACAGAAATGCTCTACCGCCAAGGAGTGCTTTTCTGCGATCAACGACCTGCCAACGGACTCACTCTTACGTCATATCGCGGTTTCTGCCTTGCCCTCCGCCCAGGCTTCCAATACTGACGGAAGACATTTCCAATCCTCGGCTAAGACAGGGTGAACAAAGATACGGCCAGAACAAATCCTATAGGAATGGGTCGGATGGACACTACGCAGCAGAACATGGGTCCTCATTTGTTTTATGACGCCCCGGCTTTGGCGAATGAAGCTCTTGGCAGCCAAGTCGGATCGTACTTCCTTGGTCTGACACGTGGACGGGAAGCAGTTCCGGAATGGAAAACTCCAAGAACTGGATGTGTGAACAGGGTTATTCGTTTTGCATAAATGCTCGCGGATCTAAGCTGAAATAATCTGTCAGATGCTCTTAACCCTCGCACGACCAGGCCATTTCTCATAACACGAACGACCAGGGGGGGGGGGGGTGTTACGACCCCCCTGGCGTTTCGAAACGGAAGGTCGTAGAGCTTAGCGGAAAAAAAACAACGGATTGCTCTCAACGAGATCTCGCGATTGGTGGTATATTTTTTGGTCCTAGGTCAACATTTGACCTACTTATGACCGGTCAAAGGTCAAATTTTCCGAAAAAATCAAACTTTTTCAACTTTCCGCGGCGATTGCGGCAAAACGGTGGGAGATATCGACTTGAAACCTTCACTATCGTGTTCCTTGATCAATTCTCTATCGTTTGGTATGTATTTCGTTTCCCTAGCTCTAAAAATGGCGCGTTGGGAGCGCCGGAAGTCGGCAAGGTCACAGTCGGCGGCAGAAATTCGAAAAATCAAAATTTAAATTTTTGAAATCTGATTGTATTTTTGGATTTGGGAGGTCCATTTGCTTCCTATAGAAGCTAATATTGCTGCATATTCCCATTGAGGTGACAAGAATTAGCAAAATAGTGGTTCGGGCGCTTTTCAAAAATAGTACCGGACGCTGTTCCTCTTGTGACGTCATAGCTCCGTGACCTGACCTGACCCGGTCAATTTTCTTGCACCACACGATAGCCAATGCTTGCCCCAACATGCATGGGAAGTTTCATCATGATCCATCAAACAATGTGGGTATCACCGGCAGAAAACCTAGGGATTCGGCGCACACGTTTGGTAACTGTCGGCCGGAGGCTGTACCTCTTATGACGTCATAACTCCGTGACCTGACATGACCCGATCAATTTTTTTTCGGCAAAAGATGCGCAAGGGTTGCCCCAGAGGGTATTGAAAATTTCAGCCCGCTACGACAAGCCGTTTAGCGTGCACTTTGAAAAAACCTCGGGGGGGGGTTGATACAACCCCCCCCCCCCCAGGCGTTCTAGGGTTAAAGTTCATCCAGTTGAAGCTCATGTAACACTTCAAAGCGACATTGGGACATGACGCGTCTAATGAGATTTATTATGCATATGAGGAACTTACCAGGAGGTCAGAAGAGTTCTTTTCGTAGATCGCCTTTGCTCGTGGGAATACAATTTTTCGTGCAGATTCTTCGTCTATGTAGTCGGCGACATTCGGTATTGCCATCAAACAGGCTTTCTGAAATACATATGCGAATTATTTAGCTAGTTTCAGACACATGATTCAGCAGAGTTGGTGCAATGACGTAGACGATTGACGAATCTTATCTATACGAATCTAGCAGGGACTTTCAGTGATTCAGCTGTGAAGATGAAAGTGTTCAAGAGTCCTAGTGGTCCACGGAAGCCATGCAGACCTACATATCCTAAGAGGAATCGCGATATATTGCAAAACACTTGTTCATGGTAATGGGCACTGTTTTTATGCCTGTTCTTCTTTGTAGGAGACCAAATCAAAGCTTGAATGCTTCGAATAATCAATTTCGGACCATAATACCATAATCGATTCGCAGAAAGGTATGTAATATACATTTAACTGAACGTTATTTTACTCTAAAAAGCAAGATCGAATGGTATATTGATCAGAACGATCGGTATCATAAACTGAAAGGAAAAATAAGAAGCTCAAACAAATAGCACATGAGAAGACGAAACGATAGCACGATACTCACGGCCCAGAACCTCATGCGTTTAATGTTTATATTCCTTCTCACCTGTATTTGAGCAGTGGTGGTGTCCAGGGCGTTATAAATGATGGGCATCACTTCCGTCTGGATCTCATCCTTCGGAGTTTTCTGCAAGATTATGTGCAGATTTTCCAGCAGTGTCACTGACGCTTGAATGGATTTGGGCCACGAGAATATGCATCTGGGGACGGTGGTTCAAAGGTCAACCGTCGAGAGTCGCGACTTTCAGGAAGCGTTGAAAAGTCTGCTGTAAGCAGAACTAACGTATGAGGAAGCCGGAAGAATGTCTCATTTGTTCGAAGCGTAGATAAATGATGATTAGCAGCGTGACCGTAACGTGTTCAAGGGAAACTAAAGGTATATCTATGAGTCAGTGTCTGTTACTGACTGTCGCTGTGTTTATGTCTGTGTGTCTGTGAGCTACTCACAGCTGAACTGTATTGTATGTATGTATGTATGTATTTACGATCATGGGCGATCCACACATGGCGTGGCGATTACTCGTTTCCATGTGTCTGTGAGCTACTCACAGCTGAATTGCGTTTTCTGTGTGTCTGTGAGCTAACCATCCCCATCTGAACTCACCTGAACCTGGGCAGGATGATGGTCTCGTATTCGTCCTCGCTGATCTCGCTGATGATGTTGAGGATGGGCTGCAGGACAGCGGCCAGCACCTCCTGGGTCAGCATCTCCTCCCGCAGGCAGGGCCACACGTGCTGGAACCAAAGCTTCTGCGGGACAGACGGGGGACGGGACTGAGGTCAGAGGGTTACACGAGTCGGAACCATATAGCTTCTGTGAGACTAGGGGGGGGGACTGAGGTCAGAGGGCCACACGTGCTGGAACCACAGCTTCTGCGGGACGGAGGGGGGGGGACTGAGGTCAGAGGGTTACACGAGTCGGAACCATATAGCTTCTGTGAGACTAGGGGGGGGGGGGACTGAGGTCAGAGGGTTACACGAGTCGGAACCACAGCTTCTGCGGGAGACATAGGGATAGGAATGCGATCACAGGGGCACACGTGCTGGAACCACAGTTTTTGTGGGACGGGGGAAAGGGGGAGGAACTGAGGTCACACAAGGCCAGACGTGCTGGAACCATAGCTCCTGGGGAAGGTATCGTGGGTCCAATTGCACGTTAGCCAAAAACATATGACGTCCGACTGTGGCCGGAGCAGAGGCGCATTTTACTAGATCCGGAAATAGAAAGGGAAATGGTTGCTTGATAAACGGAACCGATAACTGATAATGATAAAATGATATAGATGATAAATGGAAATTGTAATATTGGATATGATTATTGACGATTGAATCGGTTTTATATTTTATGCCAGTGCAAAGGCATGCCCACGTTTGTCTACTGACAGTTTCAGAGCACTTGACAGCATTGATTGCAATTGCCAGATTCAACAAGCATTTACTGACTGCATTTACTTGAGCGATATCGCTCTCCTGACTCCTGAGAACATCCCGCCGGTTCCGCCCCGGCGGAGCGTGGCGCTCATTTAGTGGCCGTTTCCGGCTGCCGGGGGCACTCGACACCTCGTGCCGCCGCCGACCGAGCCGGAGCCTGCTCCCGGGAGCCACCGGACACGGCCGGGATCTAATTACACCGTGAGAGGTCCTCCGGCGGAGCCGAGCCGGGCCGCTGCCGTCCGCGCGCCGCAGAGATCAAATGCCAGCAGCACGGCCGATCTCAGCACAAACTGACCTGCCCTTTGAACATTCTAGATGAACTGGCATAGTGGTGCAGTTAATGTAAATACTTCAAAGTGCCAAGCGAGGTTGTGGGAGTGTGAAAATAAGTGCACAACTGCATCACTAATTTTCTTTTACCTGAAGTTTGATGGAAAGGGAAATGTCCTGAAATTTCCACACATTACACAATATGCGGGACTGATATAAAACGAGTGCAAGAGGCGACACGGCACTGATTCTTTTTTGTTTTATCCGACGGAAATTCTAAGGTGTAAATACCTAAAAATAAATTAAACGCCTTTTCCAAATAAAGCGTAAATTTAAGACGGGTGCAGAACTGATTGAATTCCAGGCTTTGCAGAGATACTGGTGAATTTAACAATTTATTTTCTTAAGCCATTCACTCCATTCATGACAATTTTCGTTTCATGAGTTGGGCGCGGTGCGGTCCAGGTCAAGCCGACCGACCTATGGCAATTGTAAAGTTCTCGACTCCTGGGACCCCATTCCATCGCACACAGTTTTCTGCTGATCCAGTATTTGGGATCTTGTCACATCAATGTCTTGAGCGTGTGGAATGAACGGAGCCAGCAAACGCGGCGGGAGGGCGGGCGGTAGCGGATAGGAGGCAGGCGGATTGTAGCCGGTAGGTAGGAGGCGGGCGGTAGCGATAAGCGGTGGGCGGCGGGGGCGGGCGATAGCGGCGGCGACGAAATCGGTTAGGCTGCAGCGGTAGCGGGCGGTGGGTGGCGGGCGGTACCGGCGGAGGCGGGCGGTAGCGGCGGGGACGAAATCGGCTAGGCTGCAGCGGTAGCGGGCGCGGCGGTGGGTGACGGTCAGTGGCGTAGACAGGGGGGGGCCATGGGGGCCATGGCCCCCCCTTTCCGCCCAGCCGCCCAGATGGCGCCCCACTTAGCGCCGACTAGGCTGATGCCGTTTTACAGAGTGGAACATGAATTAAAAAGCGATGTGCAGGCAGGGATCGAGCTCAATATCTCTTTAGGGGTGCCTGGACACCCCAATATTCTCCAGGGCACCCCCAAATAGGACCTGAGCCCCCCAATGTTTAAGGGCGCCCCTCCGGAAACCAGAATGGGTATTCCGAACCCCCAGGGTCGATGGCGCCCCTGAAAGCCGCTGGCACCCACCAGAACGGAACAGTCGCCCCATTTAAGGTTAATTGCACCCCTCTGAAGTTCATAGCTGCCCCATTCGGCCCCATCCAAGGTCGATGGCGCCCCCTGAAACCACTGGCGCCCCTCTAAAGCACCCGCATTCTTCTCAAGATCACAGTCGCTCTATCCGAAATCAATAGCGCCCTCAAGAGAGTCACTAGCGCCCCCCTTGAGACTGAAGTCGTCCCGCTTAAGACTAAAGTCGCCCCATTCAAGCCCAATGACGCCCCTCCAGAGCGCCCGGTGCGCTTCTGAAGATCACAGTCGTCCTCATCCGAGGTCGCTGGCGCCCCTCAAAAGTCACCGGCGCCCATCTAAACGGAGATCACAGCTGCCCTATCTTAAGATCGATGGCAACCCTTTGAAACCAATGGCGCCCTTCTAGAGTTTATTCGCCCCATCCCAGACAACGCCCCTTGAGACTATACAGTTCCCCCACCCAATTTCAAGGCGCCCCTCTAGACCGTCCGGCGTCCTGCTGAAGGCAACAGCGGCCCCATCCATGCCCAATGGCGCCCCTCAACGCCCCTCTAAAGATCACAGTCGCCCCATCAATCCAAGGTCGCTGGCGCCCCTCAAGAGCCACTGGCGCCCACCTGAACCGGGACTTCAGTCGCCCCATCCTAAATCAATGGCGCCCCTCTGAAATCACTGGTGCCCCTCTGAAAATAACAGTCGAATCATCCGAGATCAATGGCGCCCCTTCAGAGCGTCCGACGCCCTACTGAAGGCAGCAGTGACCCCATCTAAGCATTACACCCCTCTAGATCACCCGGTGCCCTTCTGAAGATCACATTCGCCCTATCCGAGTTCGTTGGCGCCCTCCAGTAGTCACTGACGCCCATCTGAATGGAGACTTCAGTCGCCCCGCCCCATTCAAGATCGATAGCGCCCCCCCCCCCCCGAAACCACTGACTCTAGGTAGGTAATTATTTGACAATGGGGCTGTCTCATCGACACCAAGGACCCTTTTCAAGATGCAGCAGCCAGGCGGCGCCGAGCTGGGCTAGGATGTGCCAAGCGTTTCTTATAAGGCAGCCTCGTTAGTGCCACCCCTCGTTGCGATACCGCCCCTCAATGCGACGCCGCCCATTCACCGTACAATGCCACCCCTCAATGCAAGTGCTGCCCCCAGCGCATTGCCCCCCATTATTGTGATGCCGCCCCCGCCTAGCAGTGCGGTGCCGCCCCAGCGTACGCCACACCGACGGAACGATCACTTTTAAAACTATCAGAGATTGATAAGACTAACAATATGTATAAAATGTTTATCTCGGACTTTTGATATCCATGACCTAAGCTCAGGTCAATTTTACGACTTCTCCATTAGGTATAAGTCAATTGAAGAAAATTGAAATGCGCCTCTTTTGGACGAATGTGGTTCAAAACCCTCTCAAACATCGGTACATAGGTAAACATAACACACTGAATCGACAAAATGCACCTGTGACCCTTCTGTGTGCCCCTGAGGTCATCTCAGGTCATGAACGGTCACCAGCATTTCTTTGGCTATACCTTTTGATAGAGACGTGCTAAAGCGGTGAAAACACGTCAGATGTGTTCAGCTCGACGATACGGATCGAGTGATATGCAGCATGACCCTATCCATCAAGGTCATGACCTTGACCTGAGGTCAAATTTTCAAAATGTTTCAAGGTCAACGTATAGTTCATTCGACGCGTTTCGACGAGAGGAATACGATGCTGGCAAAATAAATGTCGTCTCTGTCTTGAGTCAAAAGCTATTGCAGAAAACGATTTTAATAAAAACTGTTATTTTTGGAGTTGTTTCCCTCTGGAGGCGTGGCAGTCAGTCACTGGAGGCAGTCATGCATGTCCACAAGTAGGGGCTGCACGCACTATAGTCCGTTTTTCTTATCTTTAGACTTCACTCCAAGATGTTTCGCAAGATATGCACGAGACAAAGCATGGCTTAGAAAAAATCAAGCCCTTCGGAAACAGAAAATATTGCCTTGAAGCCTGGAGAGTGGCGCTCTTGGGTGCGGCAAGTGCAGATTTGTAGTCTCACAAATGTGTATTACATAAATAGGTAGGTACTTATACCTACCTGCTACAAAAATTAAGTTGGATAAAGTTTGGTATGCTAACCGAACTATCGATCCGATGAATTAAAGGGTACCTATAAAAGCGAATATCACTTGGAAATGAACTATTCTGCAAATGGACACAAGTCATCATCAGTGACTTTAGTTCAAGACCTATAGGGCTTGGTTCCATCCGAAGTTTTTTGAAACCGCAGGTGCGTGCGACTGCGAGTGCGGACCCAATGCAAGGAAATTCTTGAAGGAGCTCGGCGTGTGGCTCGTAACAAGTTCTGGCGACTGTCGTGAAGCACTTGGTTTGTGGTTCGCTATCGCAGACATTCGAGTGAACGCGTTTTCGATAGTATTGACTGTGACGTTGTAATCCTCACGAAGTATCATGTGGACGGGTTAGACTGCGTGACGAGAGGCGGAGATGAATTATGCCTGTGGAGGTATGCAACCCGCAGGACATGCGTGTTCAGCGGCGCAGGCTACCAACACGAGTTGGCTATATGAGCGTGTGTTTAGCGATGAATGCAGCATTGATCGAAATTAACAAATATACATACTATTTCAATGTGATGACATGTTTTGCTCGTATTACCCGCTAGTGTCTACAAATCTACCACCAGTAACTCGTAATACAAATTACAAAAGACAGGAAACACAGGAGTCGTACTCGTATATTGGGTATGTTTGGTTCACCGAAGCCATCGTATAGGTCCCATGCGCCCTCAATCACTTTCACTGTCACTGTCGTCACTGCTCGAATCCTGAAGTGACACGATCACTGGCTCGATGTCCTCCATCATACCATCTGCTCGCCAGTACACCTCTTCCAGTTCTCGCACGTGGCGGCAGCAGTTTCGCCACAAGTCCGGTGGCGCGGCGTCTCGGCTATCCAGCAGCAGCCTTTCCACGTCATTCAGATGCCCAGTGTTGTTGAACTGGCGGACGTGCGTCTTCATGTTTGCCCAAACCATTTCAATCGGATTGAGGTCGCAATGATATGGGGGCAACCTCAGTACTTCATGACCGGCCTCCTGTGCCACCTTGTCCAACACATACTCGCGTGTCTGTTTCAGAGGGCGAACCAGCTCAAGAAGCTCGACCTTCCGCAAGTCCGGATCAGGATTGACATCATGTACCCGCAGCCATTCTTGGATCGCTTCCTTCCTCCAGCTAGCTGTAGGTGCCTTGTTAGCACATCTTGAATGATACGAGGCGTTATCCATAATGATCACGCTATTCGCTGGCAGGTTCGGCAGAAGTTGGAGTCGAAACCAGTCCTCGAAACAGCTCGCGTTCATAGACGTGTGATAGTCGGCAGACTTGCCGTCCGTCCTCATACACATGAATGCTCCTGGGGTGAAGCCGCTGTCCGAGCCAGCATCGACTATGATTAGGCGCTTGCCCTTCCCTGTCACTGGCTTATGGCCGGCCACGTCGTCACTGTCCAACCACGCGACCGTTCGCATATCAAACTGGTTATACCAGGTCTCGTCCAAGTACACTATAGTGCGCTCTGGGTCGGAGCTTCTAATCTTCCGAATGCGTCTCAGGAACGCGTTCCGGGCTGCCACCACCTGAGGTTTTTCAACCAGCAGCTTTCGGTTGTTCACTTGTCGGAACTTGAATCCTATTTGGAACAGCTGCTTTCGTATGGTTGAGCGCGAGATATTCTGCTCGAACTTGTCCTGAACTGCCGCTCTAATGGTGTCCAAAGTGACCTTTTTCCCTTCCAGGTACATGGCATGCACCATTCTTCTGAACGCGCACTGGTCAAACTCGTCGAAGTACTCGCGTGGCCCCCTGTTAGGGCGCTGGCGGGCTGGAGACTGGCATCCATGTGTCTCTATTCCACTCTTGAATGCATTAACAGAGGCAATCGACACTCCAGTAGCAGAGCTGGTCTCCTTCGCTACGTTAACCCTATTCCTGGCGGGCTCCGCCGGGACAAGAAACTGGCGGGGGGGGGGGCCGATTCGGCCCCCCCCCCTGAGATCTCGAGAACGAAGCGAGATAGCGACAAGCGGTAAACGGCATCGGATACGCACGGCCAAGATCTACAATTTTTACTAAGGTCATTTTCAGGTCAGGTCAAAGATGACGTCACAGGGGTCGAAAAAGTCAAAATGGCGGCACTAGATATAAAGAGAGTTTTTCTCGAATAACTTTCGAATTAGTCAAGATAGGAACAAACTAAGGGCATCATCGTGATCCTCTCGTCAATCCGCATCGAATGATATATATGTTGACCTCGAAAGGTCAAGGTCAAAGGTTGACCTCAGGTCACGTGACCTCGAGGTCATCATGTATATCATTCGATGCGTCTTGACGAGCTGAACACAATGAGACCATCCACGCGTCTGTATCTTGTTCCTGTACGGAGTTATTGGCCAAAAACCTTTGGTGACCTTTGATGACGTCACATGACCTCACAGCTGCCCAACAGCAAAACAGACCTCAAGGTAGTGAAGGTTGATCGTATATGAAGTCATGTATGGTATATGGGGCCATTCCTACCCGTTTTAGTGGTAAAAACAGGGAGTTGATTTTTCCCCCATTGACTTATAATGGGGAGGTCGCGAAATTGACCTGACCTTAGGTCACCGATATCAAAATTCCGAGATATACAAATTGCACATACTGGTACCCTAACTAAACCCTGAAGAGAAGAAATTGATCGGTCAAAAACTCTAGCTCTGGCGTGATTGCAAACTTTTCTGAGGTAGCGTCACCAAACCGCCTCTGGTGACCTGACCTGAGGTCAGATCAACTCAAAATTTTCAGACATGTTGCGTAGAAGCCTTTTAGGAAAAGTCAGAAAATTTGAGCTTCCTAGCTCAACGCGTTTGGGAGATATAACCAAAAAACCTCAGGGGGGGCTCCTGAGGCCCCCCCCCCCCGCCAGGAATAGGGTTAATGCTAGCCGCTGCACTCTCATCACCTTGCTTGAGGTATTCATCTTTCTTTCGAATAAAATATTGGTAAACATTATAAACCACTTGTCTCGCTTGTGCACCGATCGGTTTTCCTTGCCGAAGTTTTGAGAGCATTGCATATTATTGTATACGAATGGATATAAATTTCAAAAGATATATAAAAGTCTCAGATTTCCTTGATACACAGCAGACATATGGTGTGTTCCAAGGCCCTATATAGAAGGTATGCTCATTAGGCCGAAGCAGCGATTTCCGTGACGTCACAGGTACGAAGGGTCGGACGGCTGTAATGCAATCCTATGGAAAATGACCCAACTTTAGGGCTCTCCCACATAGCTGCCAACCTCGACACTAAGGTAAAAGTTATATCACATAAAAGCTCAAATCAAGACGAACAAGAAACCTATCTGACGTTTTTACGTATTACTAACGGCTTAGACTCTATTCAAGTATATTCAGAGCTCTGCATTACCTCACTTTTTCTGCCGTCAATGCCACTACAAATGTCCAGTCGGCGCACGTGCGCTTGTCGAGCGGGGACCACCAGTCGGGCGATTCAGAGCTGCCGCCCAATCAGAACGCCGCAATGCCGTGACGTCATTGGTCGCACACGACACGTTACGGAGATAGGGATGAGACAGCCCTGGGTGTGTTCGCTTTTAGAGCCAGTGGCAATGAGCGTGACGCTTGATTTTTATTATCAAATTGTGTGACGTCACGTGCTAAGTTATCTGCACATCTTGGAGTGAAGTCTAAAGATAAGAAAAACGGACTATAGACATCGAATTGTAAAGGGGATGTGTGGAGAAAAAATCCAGAACGTATGTCAGCGTTCGGTCGCCTCTGACTGCAGTCGCTGCTGGTATGACAATGAGTTGGGATCTCATGGTGGATCTCATGGTCTTAAATGTTCAAGTCTTTCCTTGATTCCAATTTAGGCAATAAGTCGCAGCGTGTATCCTACATACGTGCGCTCTGATATTCTAAACACGGCAACCCCGGTCGACCACAGGCTGCAGCCCACAGGTCACTTCGGATCAGTGAGTGAGCCCGTATATTTTTCTTTTCTTTTTTTGCAAAGAATAAAGATTCTGCCTATCGATCAACGTATAGTTATTTCCCCGTTTCGAATTCGCATGGATGCGTATTTTGAGAATAAAATGTCCGTAGCCTGAGCTCGTTTCCTATATCATGCTGAAAATTCATCTAGATCAAGGTTTTTTTATAAAAAAAAAACACCAGACTGCAAATTGCATTAATTAGACTTTATGAAAATCAGCGAAAGCTGGTTCTTATGTATTTTGCAACACCTAGTAAATCATGCATGAACATGACGTTACATTTTAGCCTGACACCCCTGTCACTAGCTGATAATGGCGCCCCTCTCAAGGGAAAAAGTCGCCCCCTCGAGCACCATGGCCCCCCCCTTTCGCTGATCTCTGGCTACGCCACTGGTGACGGTAGCACCGGGCGGTAGGAGGCGGACAGTGGGAGGTGGGCGGCGGGGACGAAGTCGGTTAGACGGCGGGCGCGGGGAACAAATGGGCCCCGGCAGTGCCGTCCATCGTCCGGATGGGCGCGGCCCGGCCCGGCGGCGACACTGAAAGGCCACCTGTCACCGGGGCACGCCCGCTGCAGAGCCGTGAGCCCGGTAATGATAACACATGGAATAAGACCGAACAGTCTGGTGTCACACAATGCCGGCGCCGAGCGGTCAGCTGTGGCTCAATACCAGGACAAAACAGTCAGCTGTGACGCAGTTCCGGCATTATAGCATGCAGTTTATCACAGGGGATGTTTTTGTGCAATGTAGGTACTTACATTCTTTTTTTTTCAATCCATATTACATACATCTTCATTTGCTACATTTACGTCTACATCTGTAGGCATGTTTATTCATTGGTGTTACTCGATCGCATCGTGTGGTGCACTTAATTAGCTACCCTTGCATTCTGGTTAGATGTCCGCAACTGCTCTTCTCCTTCCACTTGTAACTGTAATTAGTTTTCAGGAGCACAAAGGTAATGATGAAGTTCACTTACTTCGCCTCTCAAATCCTGTGCTTCATTACCTGCGCAGCTAGTTATCCAATTTAACTCGCCCACTCAAACAGTTTTCAAATGAACTGCCTATATCAACCACGTATGATACACGTAAAGTTCAACAAGTTCAAGTGAAAAACCCACAATGAAATGTAGAGACACAAATTTGAGCACCGAACTGTTAACGGAACCTAAAATGTAGTTTTGCCTGCTCGATCGCAGAACACAAGCATGCGGTACTTATCCAGCGGAACGTGTCCCCCCCCCCCCCCACCCCCACTGCCAAACGGCCACTGACCCGCGGTATGTACGGCAGCACCTCCGGCAGGGTGGTCCGGAAAAAGTTGGACTTTTGACTGGGGTCCTTCATGGCGATGACATCCAGAAACTGCATGGCGTGCACGGCTGGATCACTGTGAACAAGAAAAGGTACGTACGTGAAGTTAATGTCACACAGAATCCATACGCTTATTTGCGTTCATTTCCTATTGTATTGAAAAGCGCCAGAAACACGTGTGGACTGTAAACGGTGAACCATTCCACCAGTGAGTCCAATCGTGAATGTCAGGAGGTATGTTATTGCCTATTGCAGGAAAGGACGCACCAACATACAGTCGGTAGACCGTACGTCACAGTCTACCGACACAGTCGGTAGACTGTGAGTCTTCCCCCTCGGCACAGCAGCTGCAGGCGGCTATAGGTAAATGGCTATCCAGTATCCATGTAGTTATATGAATACTTGAAGGGAAAAATTTCGATGGCTGAAAGGATATCTTTGAAGGTCGAGCGCGCCGAAATTCGCTTGCCCCTGTTCCTATGCACTGTTCTCCAGCTATAGCATTCCGAAGACTTTCGAGCGGACTGAAAAATGGGCAATTGAACATTCTTCAGATGAAAGCTTTGATTATGCAAAAACTCTGTCATGGCCTGTTTGGATTACCTTAGGGGCCTTAGGGAAAAGGGCCATAGGAATTAGCTGACCAACTAAGTAACAATTGTTTTGGGTCCTTTTATTAAGACGACTCAAGGTCTCCTAGCACATTATATCAATCGTCCATTTCCATTAGTAATTTAAACAAACTTTGAAACAATTTTTTAATGATATACCTATTGTCTTTCCTAAACAGCTTCTTTTCTCAGCATTTTCCCACCGCTTGGAGTACTTTAGGACGGATTCTCATCCACAGATCTCCGGGCCATATTTCCGTCGTTTTCCCTCACTGAAACATCCCGGTGCCAGTCGGCGTCCGACGCGGCTTTATCTCGACTTTGTGCTCCAGTTCCCGAGCGGCGCTTTGATCCAGTCGGACGGCCGGGGCTCGGCTGTCGCAGTCGTTAGCGGCAGCGGGCGTGTCCTGTCCAAAATACATCCCCCGGCTCCGGCACTGACGCGCGGCGGGTGCCCCATGCGTCCATGGCTGACGCAGGGTGATTTATGAGCTCTCAGCTGCGGCATCAATTCACTCATGGAAGGAGCTTGGAGGTCGTTAAACACTCGTTAAAATGTCAAATGGCTGACTGATCAACACCTTAGCTGCAATTAATCGGTATGGTTCAACGCTTCGCCGAAGTGTAATGATCTCACAGCTCCTAATTTACCCCTCAAACCTGCATGGAAACTTAATTACAGCAAGTCGCCAGAATAGGTTCTAAATTTATTCCCTCAATAGGTCTGACTCATTTCGACTGAACAATAGCCCGGTCCTGTCTTCAGCGTCAGGGACGTCTGCGATTGCCACCACATTATCCAGCGGGCTGTGATCATTTCGCGGGAGGCGTGTGATTGCCGCGGCCCCCATTTTCCGCTCATCACACCCGGTTGTCAACACGCGCCTTCGTCTGCCGTCTGCCGTCTGCCGTCTGCCGTCTGCCGTCTGCTCCCCCCCCCCTCCGTTCCGCCCCCGGCAGAGAGACAGAGACGTCTCCTATGCAGGGTCAGATTGGCGCCCGGGGCTGGGTCGGCGCGGACCGGGACGATATTGGGCCGGGTGCGGTGTCATCGGTCCACCCCGCGTGGAGCACCCGTCCCGCCGGCTCCACCGGCACAGGTGGAAGAACCGGCAAAGGTACAATTTCATACAATTTCATACCGCCACCGGCAAACGTGGTGGTATGAAATTCCCAAACAACCTTCAATGATTCATGACACTTTAGTTCAAAAGTATGTGTGCTATGTATCCTTCCTTATTTCTTCCTTCACGTTTTCACAAACGTGAAAAGTGTACATACGTGTACATTACATACGCTATAGAATGTTACGTAAAATATACGTGCTGCAACTCTTTATTTTGATAAACATAAAACAAAATTTTCAAGCCTCTAGAGAAGATAGGTAGATGCTAAGAGAAACCCCAAGAACAGCGCTATCGTTGGAATATCTAAAAATTAGAGAAAGGTGATATATACGTATTGTACAGTGATATATCTCGTATTGTACAGCACCCTTTTCTTTGCCCTCTCACCCGTTAAAGGTCCTTAACCCTCGCCGGCCGAGGGGGGGGGGGGCGGGTGCCGCCCCCCCCCATAGGGTTTTTTCGCCATAGCTCCGAACACGCTGGCGATAGAGAGCTGAAACTTGGCATACCTGACCTTTGATCCAAGCCGCATCTTTTGACACTAACCGCATTTTTAGGTCAGGTCAGGTCACTGACCTATGACGTCATAAGTGAACCTCTGCACGGTCTTCAGATGTCGCAACTTCGCAACGCCCTCACTGCCAGAGGAGATGTCACAGGGAAATGAAACTTGCAGGATCTAGTATCCATTATGAGTCCCACAACTTGTATATCTTGGATTTTTCCTAAAGGTCATATGAGGTCAGGTCATTTTCGTGACCTCACCATTATAAGTCAATGGAGAAAAATGAAAACTGCTATTCTGGCGCCGGGAACGATCTCCAACTATCTCAAGCACACAGAATCGTGATTTTATGCAATCCTTGCAATGTTGGATGCACTTTTGCAGTGTTGACCTTCCGTGACGTCATTTATGACGTCATCAAGGTCATATTAGTTTTTCGTCAATAACTCTTGATCAAATTGAGCTAGCGAGTCGGGAAAGCCACCAATGGACTCAGGAAGACCTGCCGAATCGAATGATATGCGACATGACCTCTTTCGACCAACTTTGTGACCTGGGGGTGCTGACCTGACCTTGACCTGAGGTCAACACCCCAAGTTGACCTGACCCGGACAAAAAGTATATCATTCGACGCGCCTGAGCGAGACGAACACGATGCTGCCAAAATCGGCGCTCTGCGGCCGTTTTTTGCGAAGTTATTCACCAAAAACTGAACCGTACCTTGGGGCACTTGACCTGACCTCAGAGGTCACCGGTTGACCTAGGACCTTAAAATCGGGTACCAATCTCTGCGTCTCGTAACGGCGCACACGCTCGTTTTTTCCGCGACGCGCTAGCTCCACCAGGGGCGAAACGGCGAGGGGGGATCGTACCCGCCCCCCCCCCCCCCCTCGGCCGGCGCGTATGTAGAAAACCAATAGGTCCGGCGAGGGTTAAATGTTTTTTTTTTCTGACGTGGTTATCAAAAAGTTTAGAAACTTCCATGCACATCAGCTCATGACAGGCATGCTGTTTATAGACGGTGGTGAACGAAAAGAAATTGACGGGAGTCTAATGACGCTGGCTTTTGAAATGCCTTTGTGTTTAGTTCGTGTCCTAACAAGAAAGGAGATTATCATACAATGGCGAGTGTGACGCTAGTGAGGTGCCAATGACTTGATAAAGCATCAGAGCAGGCAATTAATTTTCCCATCAAAAGAAGGTAAACGGCAACATACCTACTTTAAAAATCCCAAATCCAATATGGCCGTTTTCACGACGGAATAGCAGGCATCTATTTAATCCCCATTTGATCCTTAAGTTCCTCAGGAATTTTAGTAGTTCTTTTTAGTAGGTTCCCCAGCTTTCGAATGAATGGTGCGTTAGTTTGCTATTTTTCTATTAAATATCACATCGATTTACTTTATCTAAGGATTTATCACTAATATCAACATAAAGCGTAAGCACAATTATAAAATTATGAAATTATTAAATACTAGTACAATAGTTAAAAAAAGATACTGAGTTGCCAGGCTACAAAGAATATATTCATTTATGGCGCACGACAGACATTTAGAAAGCAGCGCCCTGTTTTATTGCACGCTGCTAGCCGCTTCCATTGGGTTTTGCAGGCCGTCGTCATTGGTCGTTACACGTATGATGTCACGCGACTTGTGGCCTGTCACGGCTCTTTAATGATCTCCACTAAATGAATGCAACAATGGCCTTTTAACCCGCGCCCGGCTGGGGGTCCTGGATTTCCACGCCCTGCTGGGGGGGGGGGGGTGTTTGAACACCCCCCCTTGTAACTCGGCTCCTGGGCCACGTAGCGATACGCGGAAGGCGGCGTTCGAAAGAGCGTCAAAAATAATGACGAAATCACTTCGGTCAATTTTTTGGTCAGGTCAAAGGTCAGGTCACCAGAGGTCATGGAAGGCAAAATTTCGCCGATTTCCAGGTCGAATGTCGAAAATTTCCAAGAAGCCAACGCATAACTCGGGAACCAATAGAGCTACAGCGCCGCGGAAAAGCGCATTCGATAGCCCTATTAACGCCCTTTCTGAGTAATCCTCTCATATTTGACCTAACTTCAACGGTTTTGCCTGCAGGGGGCAAAAACTGCAAAAATAGCCGATTTTTTCGGAAACAGTTTTTCTGCAATAACTTTTGACCCAAGCCCTGTACGAGCTTACTTTTACCGTCATCGTGTTCCTCTCGTCAAGACGCATCGAATGAACTATAACTTGACCTTGAAAGGTCAACTTGAAAATTTGACCTCAGGTCAAGGTCATGACCTGACCGGAAAGGGTCATGTTGCATATCAGTCGATCCGTATCGTCGAGCTGAACACATCTAAGGCGTTTTCATCGCTCTAGCATGCCTCTATCAAAAGTTATTTGCGAAAAACTGTTAGATACCATTCGTGACCTAAGATGACCTCAGGGCATAAACAAGGGTCACGGACGCCATTTTCATGTTCAGTGTGTCTAAACCACCTGTAATTCGGTGTTTAGGAGTGTTTATAATGTCTTTCGTCCAAAAGAGGCGCATTTCAATTTTCTCCCATTGACTTATAATGGGGAGGTCGCAAAATTGACCTGACCTTAGGTCATCGATATCAAAATTCTGAGATATACATTTTGTACATGCTATTGCTCTTAGCAATCGCTGAAAGTTTCAAAGCGATCGGTCACTCGGTGTAGCTATGACAGACATTGAAACTTTTTATGAGGTGAGGTCACTTCAAGTGACCTGGTGACCTGACCTTGAATGACCTTGGTCTGAAATTTTCACAACATGTGTAGAATTGATGTATGATAAGGTGTACCAAAAACGGCGGCGCGGAGCGCCGCCGTTTTTGAGATATTCGCGAAAAACCACAAGGGGGGGTGTTCAAACACACCCCCCCCCAGCTGGGCGCGGGTTAAGTTGATCTCTGTGGCCATCTGTCTATGGAGCGACCAATATGAAAGTTGGGTGAATTTACCGGGGTTACATGACTATGAGCAAGCAAATGTGTATCAGGAATGGATTTAGGTGGAGAATTGCGCTGGCCCATGAGTGCTCGAACGCTCCCAATTCCACGCCGGTTTGGCTTTGGAGCCGAGACAGACGATGCGGGTCAAGGTCACTGCTGGGGTAACGGTGGATTGGGTGCGCCCGAGCACCCGTAACGCGGCACAATTCTCCATCTATGGATTTTCCTATTCGCTCAGCATTGTGATAGGCGTTCGTAATAGCATTTACTCTGCTCATGTACCTATCCCCGGTTATTTAAAAGAAGTTTTTGTGGGGGAATATCACGGCTTTAGGTACTCGGTGGCCCTATTCACGACTTTCAAAGAATGCTCCGATAACTTAACACCGCACAGACCTACTGCATTAGTGAATCTGACAGAATGTCTGTGGAATTACATCCCCCCTCACCACACCCCTAAAAACTCATCCAGTGTCCAAAACCACTTTTATCGACTCGCCAAAAAAAAAAAAAAAAAAAAAAACACACACACACATACACACACAAAGCATGGGGCATGTCAGCTCTCAGTTCATTTATTATTGTCTTTACCATGGTTCAATTGCATTGCGCGATTTAAAGCACGTGAGTGCCTATATAGCATATATGTAGAAAATAATATCTACAGCAAAACATCCAAAATTACAAAGGCTACAATGCTTAAAAAGTAGGTTCATCAAGGAAGCCCATTTTTACTTGCGTTGTGTTCCCAACCATGCGATTCCAACGCGGGCTATTCGCAACGTCTGTTTTAAGGCACGTTAACAACTGACAAGCCGCCACCGCTGCCACTTATTCATAGATGGTTGATATCCGCAGCTTGGGCGTCAGCAGCGCGGCCCACAACGCGTCGGCGCCAGCGCACGCAGCTGTTGGCACTCGGCAGCCGGTGTTGCGACTTAACGGCCGGCCGGCCCCATGGAGGAGAAGCTCTTGGTGAAGCTTTGTGATCGCCTCATAGCCGCCTTGGATGTCATCTTTCTTGGCAGATCCATCCGTTCAGATGGTACGGTGCAGTCTGGATAAAGGACGAAGTCCAACGCCGCTAACCCCGCGACCGCCACCCCACAACGTGGCCGCAGACCGAACGGGCGTGAGGGCCGTAAGGGCCACCCCGCCATCCGGTAGGTGGCTGAGCAGCCGGGCGCAGCGGCGCCTGGGCGGCGGCCGCGCTGAGATGAAGTCCCAAACCGCCATGTCGCCATCACCGCCATCACCATTGCTGCAGCTGTTCCCAACCGCCTCAATCGCCGCCGTTTTGCCAGCAGTCGCGCCGCGGAATGGCAGAAGCTCCAGAGTAGCCTCCAGCGCCCCTCTCCGCACGTGTGCAGGTGCACTGCGGCCGCCGGGTCCGACGTCCAGGCAGAACATGATATTTCCATGCTGCTCCGACGGTGGGCTGGTCTTGTTTGGGCGTTCCTCCACTGTGACGTCGGTCACGCCTGCCCCGGCCAGGGCGCAGAGGCCGACGTGTCACCATCCGGTTGCAGTCCTCAGTCGGGTCGCAACGTGTACCTCTTCCGCAGCGTGGAGCGCGCTCCCGCTGGGCAGCGATACAGCAAAAAGTAGCATAGCATGCGGGCGGCCAGCGCTGCGCCGGACAGCGGATCCATGCCGGGGGTATGCCGGTCTCGGCCATTAGCGGGGTCGTCGGGGCCGAGGCTGTGCATACAGCTGGTGACCGCGTGAGCCGCCAATCGAAGCTCACGGCTTATAAGCTCGACGCGGGCATCACACGCCGTCCCGATGGGAGCTCCACGACGCCGCCGCGAACTCCAGCGCGGCTCGCAGCGCGAAGACCAGTACGGACGGCCGGGGCAAACGGCGTGCGGGAGTCGCATGCGACGTTCTGCGGACAGAAAGGGTTGAGCATAAGCTGGTCGGCAGGACACTCTTGAGCCGAGCCTTTGATGTAATTACAGATGATCCAGAAGCATGCACAAAAATTCATGACACACTATTCTCATTTATGTATTTGCTACATATGATATGATATACCAGCTCATGATCAGTGACGCATTCTGGGCAATATGTTCTAAAGTGAAGTAACTGAAGTTACAGCTTAAAAGCTTAAAAAAACAGCTTAAAAAAACACACACACATTCGATAGCTTATGAGAATAACATGCCTTGTGTGCTTAATGCAGGAAAATATTTTTTTCACTTTTTTAGAAACAGCAAAAGAGTTGTCAACAAGCCATGTCAACTATCTAAACAATTTTTATGGAAACTGCTCTAGCTAGCTTAAAGTTCCACAACGTTTCCGGAGCACCGTACCCAAACTCAGTTCATGTTACAAGAAAAAACAGTAATAATGCCTCCTAATTTTGAATGAAATATAGGTATGAGTAATTTGATTTGGAAAGCAACAAATTTCCGCACATCATTTTAGCAAAATTACTATTTTCTTCAGCCATCAGGTTACACAAAACTATAGTACCTAAACTTTATGATCTAGTTTACAAAAAACCAAAGCCCCGATTTTAACAAATGTAGATAAAATTTAAACAATTTTAAAAAATGTATCGTGGAGAAAATGAAAAGTGTAGATTTGTAAAGCCGGGATATTTCAATTTCACGGATTAGGCACTTAAAGAAATATCTTCACCTTTCTTTGAGCCACCAGCCTTCACCCAAGTTTTACACGAATGTAGTGAAGCAGACAATGTGGCAACTCAAAATTGTGATGGTTTGAGATAATTATGACGGTAAAAGAAAAAGCAACACAAGGTTCCTTACCATCGTTTTTTCACATGGGTTCAGATGAGGCTTCAACTGTTGCCGACCTGAGGAGCTATAGGGACTTGAGCTTTCCAAAACTCAATTTCTAAGGGCACTGAGCAGTGTTTGGCTTTCACACGAATGCGATAGTAAGTTATATGAAGTTGACAAAGCAAGCAAAGCAAAGCATGATGCCCCGCGCGTCCGCCCGCGACCACGCCCCGCGTCCGACTCCCGACCGCCGCGTGACCCGAGGCGCCCGGCGGTCACGTGACCTACCGGCCGGGACTGCAAACGGCCTTCACCACCATTCTTGTATGACGTCATATCCTACTGAGGTGCTGATTGGTCGGAATTAGATACCTGAAGGTAATTATCTGCCGTAGTTATTTTTGTTTCATTGTTTTGCGTGTTTTCTTATATGAAATGTAATTAAAAAATTTGTCATATTTTAATCACCATTAAAACATAACTGAATAGGTATAAAAGAGAACTCGATATATACTTTCCTTGTTTTTAAGAATTCCGGAATTAGATACCCGAGGGAGCAAAGAGGGAGCAAGTTGCCACGCTGATTTAATACCTCATAGTCGAAAGGTGGGCTACTAGAACCAAAAATTGCTGTGTTTGTAAATAAATAAGTGATTTGAGGGCAAAAAATGCCCATATTTAAACTTCTAAAATTATTTTGAACATAAAATATTTCAGTTTGAGGGATGTTAAGGCCTCTAAGGGTAGGTACTTTTTAGGTATCAAATAAGTTCCTCTGCGAAAGTTCCGTCGTGAAAACGGCCTATAAAAACAATACGTTACAAGACTTCTCATCAAGCAGTGAAGGATGTCTTGCTCATTAGAAGAACAAAGCCGAATGTTTTATATTTTTCAACAGCCATCGACAGACAATTGTAAGTTGCAACTGTAGGTTTACAAGTCTATCTACGATAAATAATAATGTGGCACTCTTCACCTTGCAGCATTCCATAGACAGGTATGCATTAACAGAGTAACTAAAGGCATACTTGCAACAACTTTTATGTCAATCACTCGCACTTCACCATGATTGGTGATATCATAACCATGCATCAGGAGTAAAGTTACAGTCTGTTTGTCATGGTAATTAGGAGTGTGCACACCCGTGCGCAAAGTTTTGCGACTGGAATACTTAATGGATGAAAATTTTAGCGTGGAACAAACTACCAGCGTCAAACAAAGAAACAAAAAGCTGCCTCTTTGTTCAGTGACAGCGCCCGGCACGCAGTTTTTGTACGCGAACTTGTTTGTTTGATGAACGGGGTACTACACAAAGCTGAACTATCTGGAGATTGGGCGCACCCGGTAGGTATGTGGCGCAGCATACCTGAAGTATTTGATGAGCGACAGTAGCTGGGCGGTGGGCCGCTGTTTGGGGTCCCTGTTGAGCAGTCTCACCACGGCCTCCTGCAGGGCCACCGGGATCAGGTTCAGCACGTTCTTGAGCTGCTCACTCAGCTGTAACAGAGGTCAGCGGGGGTCAGCAGGCCGGCCTGTCGCGCTGCGGAACAACTAGATGATACCATAGTGTAATGTGTGATACCATAGTGTTATTTATTACACTATGGATACGTTGCGGTTGTGCATTCAGATGTCATTGTGCTGGTTAGTAACGTGGTTTGTTTATTTTTGCGATTTTTTAAAACAAATTATCAGACTTTTTAGTAGCATTTGCAAGGACCAAAAGCAAAGGCTGGTTTTGAACAAATATGCCAAACATTGCAAAGTTCAGTTATTGGATAAATGTTCGGCGACAATAAAAAGGCGTTTATCTTGCATGATTTTGCAACATTTAGGCATAATGATATCCATAACAACACATTCAAGCTTAAAAGCTAATACTGATATTCTTTGCATAGCTAATAAGTATCTTTGCATTGGCCTAGCATCAGGTGCACTTTTACGTTTAGTTGTTCACTAAAGTGCCCGCCGCTGGCGCAGACGTACGGCCTCGCTCAGCGACTCACCAGCTCGAACTGCTTCATGTAGGTGGTGTTGCTGTGGTTGGCCTCGATCAGCGACCTGCCCTTGTTGAACACGGCGCAGATCACCATGCCCAGGGAGAACATATCACTGAGCAGGCTGCACTGGGACGTCGTCTGCACTTCGGGAGCTGCCGGAGCACAGCGAAAACAGAGCGGCTAGTGGGGGAGATGACATAGCGCGCCACGGTGCACAGGGAAAACAGAGCGGTCAGTGGGGGAGGATGACATAGCGCGCCATGGTGCATAGACCTCTGTATACCGAGGTTATACAGAAGTCTCTGTATAGCGATATTGATCCAGCGGCGAAATCAGTGAGACGAAACAATGTACGATTCGGTCATGGGATTTGATCATCTGCCGTTCTGTTCTTCCGCACTTCGCTGGCCTTATCCCAACGCCCAAAGAACGTCATACGAATATAGTCCAATAAGGCCATTGTATGACAGTTGTAAATGTTGTTGTTCAGCTGGGACATAGTTAATGTATAAATCGTTGTTTTGACATCAGCTATTTTATTTTAACGGAAGCTTTCAAGATCACTTCGGCTCCCTTCTTCAGCCAAGTCACACAATAAACAGTAAAAAACAGTATGTCATTGTATGACATTCTCAATCAAAATACCTATCTAGCGGCGTTGATTCAAATGAATAATGTCAAGGATGGTCAAAGCATAGTGAGCCAGGTGATGAGCCATTTCACTGACCGATTTCAAATAGCATTGAACGTGAGGACCGCAGCACTTGGGACATTTCCGTGTTCGTTGTTGCTTGTATGGCAGCGATGTTCACTAGCTAATCAGGGGATGAGGGTGTCATTGTTGTTATAAGCGATAACGCAATTGCTGGCTAGTGCTCTAGGAACATAGTAATATGATTTCAGTCACTACCTTTCTTGCAATTGGGCAGTGTTGCTGAGGTTCCGAAAACGCCCAGCCATTCAGCTTTTGACGAGAACCGTGGGAATAGGGATCTCTTGAGTCATCTTCCATGAGTATTTTATTGATGACACCCCCTGAAGGGATTCTTATATTTTTGCCGAAGTATTAATTACCAAGATGATGGTGATGTTGATGATTACGATGATGAGGAATATGGCGATGACTGTTGATCTCATTCCCAAATGACATTCTCTCACATAGCAAGACGAAACTGCTTTGATATTCCTGTAAGAAATGGTCACGCTATGAAATTCGAGGGTCTTATTCGAGGGTCGTTTTATGCATGTTACAAAGTGGCATTTCCATTTATTCACACAGACGTGATGTCCGAATTAGGGAAGGCACGTCAGATATCAGATGATGTAAGAAATCTTTGAAAGAGGCCCACTTTGTGAAAGGGTAAACAATGCATTTTATTGAAGTTTTTTTTTTCAAATCCGGCACTTAATAATTTCCTTCAAAAACTATATCGATGACATCAGCTGAATCGGACCCTTTTCCTTCAGTTACTTTCCAGATATATTCGAATTGTCTGTCGTGGAGACTTCAAAACATGCGTGACACTTTTGAGCATTGGCCTCACGCGAGCCACATTAGGACATTAGGCGCGGCGACTTACCCTACCCATATGAAAGACCCGTCGCGCCGGCTCTCACAAAAAGACGCTGTTGCCAGCTGGATTACCAGCCTGGTTCGGAGCGTGTCACTTACAGAAAAATACCGCTGCCATATCTATTAGAGGGGAATATCGCTGGAAAACATCGTTCAGCGCGCCCCGTAGGGCTATCGGCGGACCCTATAGTACCCGTAGGGGAGGGGCCGTTTCGCCCCCCCCCCTTAGATCTCGGAAATTTACCGGCCGATTTTCAAAATTCAAACGGTGTTCGATAGCCTCACCGGGGAACTACCTTGTGACCAAATTTCATTGACCTAGGTCAAACCGATGACGTCACAGGTCAGGTCAAAGGTCGGATTTTCACCGTTCACAGGCACCTCAAGAAATGTGTTGTGAAATCAAGTAAATTGGTAATTTATTGAACACCATCGATGGCATATTGTTCGTCAAACACATACTTTGCTATCTGAGGTCACTGATACCAGGTCAGGTCGCAGCGAGGTCAGGTCACCGGGGGTCACAATATGAAAGTGTGGTGTGATACATGTTTTATGGTCCATTTTACATGACAAATGCGATTACGTGGGTTAGGCAGCCTTTGGGGCCAGCCTGGGTCACATTTTGGTGAAGGTCAGGTCAAGGTCAGGTCAAATTAGGTCAAATTTCAAAGTTGATATTTTTGCATAAAATGGTATCAATTCGATGCAGCTCGTCACGGGGAGTCTAATGGTGGTCTTTGTTCTGCTCTACGAGGTCTAGAATTGCCAAAAATTGAGTTTGAAAATTTGACGTCATCATTTTTGAACCGTTTTTTCGCTATAACTTGGCCAAAAAACGAGGTATCGATATGAAATTTTGTATGTAGATAGAAGACCGTAGGTACTATCACATATATTCCGTTTTTTTCGAAACTCAAAAAACGTTTTTGATTTTTTGGCTAATATATCCGAAAAGATGCTTTTTTGGTATTTTGGGGGTCAAAACTCAAAAATCTAAAAAAATCCGAGATAGCAGTTTTGTAGCCCAGTCAATTCTACACCTCTGATGTCTTCATCATTTTTCTGTATCTTCAAAGCTGTAGGCCTGACAGGTCTTCTCGCGAAGGTCTTTTTTCGGTCTAAAATGACAGAACATGACGTCATTCTGACGTTATTTGTGGCCGACCTATCATAGTCTCTGGAAAATTTTTGGTCACAATGTGTAAAATTGATGCCCAGAGGGGTTCTGAAAGTTTGGTGGCGATATCTCCAGCCGTTTGGGAGATATCGACGGAAAAGGACAGGGAGGGGCCGTTTCGCCCCCCCCCCCCCCTACGGGACGCGGGAAGCGCCAGACATTGCACTGAATGGTGAACTGACAACGGAAACTGGCAACGGCTCTATTCAGTATGCGGTCCTCAGAAATGATGTGTCATTTGCATAATGAGTTCATTAGACATTGAAGTGTAGTGTCATTTCACCTCTTCTCTCCAACTAGGCCCGTTGCCGATTCAATGACAGCCATTCAGAGCCGAGGTCTCTGGAAAATATGAAAATAATGACAGAAGCTGGGAGTCGAACTGAGAAAATTGCAAGCTATGATTTTTAAGATGATAAAAGTATTGGTTAACTACAGCATGCTTATTGCATCGCAAGGATATGGTATTTTCTGCATACCAGGCATGCATGTTGGATATTGCATTGTCTAACCCGCGCGGGGCTAGGGGGGGGGGGTAAATTTTACCCCCCCCCCTGTGAATTTTTGCAATATCTCAAAAACGGCGGCGCGCAGCGCCGCCAAACTTTCAGTACCTTTTCTTACATCAATTTGACACGTTCCCTGAAAATTTGAGCGAAATTCTTCGGAAATTGTTTGAGAAAATGACGTTTTAGTGACGTCATGTTCGCCATCTTCGCCTCAAAAACGGCAAATTTTCAAACGCCGCTAACATCTTCATTTTTAAGCGAATCAAGACGTAACAATAAAAGGTTATACGTGACTCTACTTTGTCTATCAAATTGCTATCTCGGTTTTTTGAAAACTTTTGATTTTGGCCCAATTTTTTTCTTAAAAAAAACTGACTTTTTTTGGGAAAATAATTATAACATCCAAAATTTTGCGTGTATCGAAAAAAACCGGAATATATGTCAGAGAAGTGGTTCATGTGCACCTACATACCAATTTTTAGAAGAATCGGTTCAAAAATGTGGGAGTTATTCAAAATTATATGACGTCACGACAAACATTTTTTGAAAAAAAATAATATTTTTTGGAAGTTCTAGACCTCGTACGGAAACAAAAATAGCACCATTCGATTCGCCATAAAAAACTGCATCAGATAGACACCTTTTTAGGCCTTAACAACAAACTTCAAAATTTGACCTCACTGGACCTGACCTTGAACTGACCTCGACCTGAAATTCATCCAGATGTGGTCCATATCACCTATTGAGTGTGCCTATTGAATTCTATGAATAAAATGACCCATAAAACATGTGTCGCACATGCCCTTTTCTATATTTTGTTTTTGGTGACCTGACCTGACCTGACCTGACCTGACCTTGACCTTGACCTCTGAATGATATTGTATGCAAAGAATATTGTCTTGGTAGCCTAAGAACACGTTTTGGGCAATCAGTCTCAGTCCATGACTCCATTCTTCGGCAACTACGGTGCAAGGCCGATACTGTAGAAACTTGCAACTTGTACCCTTGACCTCACCTTGATCTTGACCTCAAACTTTAAATTAAGTACATATTGTTAGTTGTTCGTGATGAGATCTTTCGATTGGCGTTTGAATTTTCGAAATCGGACCATTAGTTCGGGAGATAACAGGGGGTAAAATTTACCCCCCCCCCCCCCAGCCCCGCGCGTTCGGCTGGAGACCCCAGCCCCGCGTGGGTTAAGTCCACCGCATTTTGAATTGAGCTGCAGCCTTATGTTCTATCGTCTAAATCTCGTAACCGGTTTAAGCTGTTCAGATGTGTTCCTGTGATGACAGTGACCTCCGACAGCCAAGTCCTACACATGTGGAACGATCAACAATCCGAATAAATGTAATACCTGAACAACAAATATCATATGTTTAACAGGCAGACAAAAGACGACAGTGACATACCCATCATAGCACCTCCTCTCTGTTATACGTAGCTACGAGGGACATCCCTAAGCGGATGAAAGACGCAGGAGAGAATGACACTAATCCTCCAGTGGTATGGCCGCGGGGATCGATTTTCCATTAGTCGGCGGCGTGGGAGTGTAATGGAGAGGCCGACCCCGCAGGAATGCGCCGGCCCAGTGCTGATGCATTGTTGTCCGAGCCGCGTACGATTACCGTACGGCAATGATAGTATACATTAAGGCATTACATGGTCAGCGACACTCTTCTGGTCGGGTATTGTTACCGCGCGAGTCGATCCAAGATGGCGAATTGATGCGGAAGTGGACTGCACACCATCAGACTTGATGGCTTATAAAGGGACGCATCGAGTTGTTGCGTTATTTTTTTATTAATGTTGCAGGGAGTTTGAGAAATCCGTGAGTTTGCAAACTCCCTAGGGAGTTTGCAAACTCCCTGACCCATCAGTGAGTTTGCA